CCTGCACAAGCCGGACGACAATGAACATGAGCATCACATCAGATTAATGCCTGGGTTCAGTTTTTAAAGCCTGTAACTGCTTGAAATGACGCGACGGCCCAATGGTGATCCAACTCATATTTCCTTCAAGTCTCAGACACTCCTGAACGGCCTTGTAGGCCTAGTATGATGAAATTTGACACATAAATTTGCACCCGGAGACACTACAACTCCCATCATGCTACAGTACTAGACCAAGCCCAGCTTACCTGACTAGTGAGAACGGATGTGTCGTTGGTTTGACAATCTCCCAAAGCAAACACATTTGCGGCACCCTTCACGCGGAGAAAGTCGTCGGTAACCAAGCCATGCCTGCCCATGAGAGAGTATAACGAATACCGTGATTACTGACACATGCACAACACACAACAAAGCTGGAAGTTAACTGCCATCGACATGGACAATACAGGTTAAAACACTGCGAGAAAGACGGTAGCCAAACAGTAGTATACCCCAGTCCACATTTCGCTGATGGGCAGCAAATGCGGCGAGTACCGTATTTTCCCGAATATAAGTCGACCTTCTGTGCGCCAGACATTTCGCCAAAAGCTGAGGGTCGACTTACAAACGGAAGTCGACCTGCATACGGGAATCTGGCACAACAAATGAAGTGACTGGAGTGTCCGTACAAAATGCACTACCGTACGAACCATGTGAACTTTCGTCCCGCGAGTGTCAAGTCACTTCCGCGCGCGCAGTGCGATGTGTTGCTGTACTGTAGTGATGAACATTGGATGACACTGGTTTTGTTCAGATTTCGTCTTACTGGCATGATATGATGTCTCCTCGCAGAGAATTCATCATTTGGTATGTGTGGGTGTCATGGAGCTATAACAACTTTTTTTTCATGAAATTGACTCCTGGATTTGGGGTGGTCGACTTATATTCGAAGGCGTCTTATGTTTGGGAAAATACGGTAACAAGTACAACTCCACGGACAAGCAGTTCACATGATTCCGCCACTGCTGCTTCTACTGCTGAAGTTTACCCTGCGAGCCAAAGTGGCCAAAAAACATGCACTGCTGACATAGGAACAAAAATCTGATAGATGTAAGACTTCAAGGTCCATCCTCAGTTTTTGAATGGAAAATAACAACTCCAATCATGCATACTTCTATACGTCGACATCAACAGAAAGTCACAGAAAATGTGCTTGGCCTTAGTATGAGATTCATCCCTCTGCCAAAGAGGTGTGAAGTAGACAGAAATTACCAAAATGAGGGTCACACTAAAGTTACCTGTTAGTTTGCTGCGGGAGATCTTTGGCAAAGCTGGCCACCAGATCCTGGGGAGCGTTGCCACCTGACCAGATGCAGAGACCGTACGGTACCGGGGTCTTGGTCTTTGATGACTTATCGAATATCGTAAGTGTTTTCTCGCCCACCTCGACTACTCTGCAGCAATAATGAAAACAGCATACAAAATCGTGTCCCGGCAATAGGCGCTCCAGTAATAGTATATTTCAATAGCACAGGCATGCAGTTTTCTCTCTTTTTCGCAGCAAGGGAGCGCCTCGACACTGACCATTGAGCTAGTCCTTTTTCACTCTACACATGACTCCATTCATGAACGTTCTATTCCGTTTTCGGGCCTAGAACAGGGCCGTAGCAGGCGGTCCGGCAGGTCCGGCAGCTGCCGGACCAATATTCGACCAATAAAAAAAAAAATAAAAAAAATGGAACCTCACAGATGTGAGCAGCTCAGGATGTCCACCCGGTACCATTGATGAGGATGTGTGCAATAAGTAGCATAGAGGTAGTACATAGTAGTGCCGGTAGTAGACCTACATGTACATGTCATCAGGAGTATGACCCTGCTGAAGATTATGTGGACAGTCATGCCTGTGAATGTTCCTACTCTGTACTTCCTGAAATGTATTGATTCTTTTCTTCCTCCAATTCTTTCTAGATAGAGTTTGCACCAAAAATTTTCCTTTGCAATATCCTTTCTCCTCCTCCAAAGGTCCATTCTGGTTCTTTTATCACATGCATTTAAATACGGTTGCTATGCCTTCATAGGCTTCAACAAGTTCTGTCTGGACGGACACAACATGCTGATGCCCTTTTTCCTGACTCATGCCGAACGTCCTTTTTCCTTTTCTCGCCCTATGTCACTCTGCATGGTCACGATTACATGCATATACATGTACATGTACAATCTAGAGTACACGGGGGGTTATGTACTTTTGATACAATGTATGTACTTCGAAGTACAATCATGTACATTTTTGTACATGTACCGGCATATGTATGAGTATGGGCTCGGGGGGGGGGGGGGGGGGGGGGGGGGGGGAGCATCGAAGTCGGATCTTGCCGGACCAACCAAAATGGGGCTGCTACGGGCCTGGAAACCATGTTTATATTGCAGGCAGGATTCAGATAGATAGTCGACTTTAGTTTGGTGGCTTTGACCCTGATAAGTCCACATTGGGGGATACATTGCGCTTGCATTGTGTTTGATGCGTATGCATGCTGCAGTGCGAGAGTTCTTTCAAAGTGTATGAGTTACACGGCTTCCAATTCACCTATTTTAACTTCATCTCAGTTAGAGATTACGATAGAAGTCCATACCAATCTCCATAGTGCTGGTTCGCGCGTCTGTTTGAGCTGCTTTCGAACTGCACTGTGCAGCTGAAAAATGGAGCCTCCAAACCTCCAGTACACACCAACCGCATTAGCGCTGCAGGTGGGTGTAGTGAAAAGCAACATGTACCACATACGCATCCCTGCACCTCAAACATCCAGAATGATCTATGCAGCTTAGTGAGCTAACCTGGCACCCGTGATGACATTGATCTTGCTGCGGTGCTTCTCAAACTCGCTCTCCGTGTACTTGCCGATCTCCGCGTCGTATGTGTTCAGCACGTGGCCCCGTGACTGCACCACCGAAATAGCAAGCTTGTCGGCTATGCTCGGGTAGAGCTTGGAGAGATCTTCCTACAGGGGTGATAATGATCAGACACAAGCCAAGTATCTAGTGGTTGAAACCTCTCTGAGACTGAACAGTGCTAACGGCTAAATCATCAGTGCAAGTGTTGGATGCAGCTAAAGTTTATACTTCTGTGTCGATATACGCACAAATAAAATTCTGACATGCCAATACTAGTATGCAACACAGCTATAATGCTAGGCCCTTGTCTTAGTACATGCAAATCGGCCTCTGTTTGGATGACGACCACATCATACCTTAGTGATTGTGATATCCTTACTAGTGAGCTACCTCACGTGATAGATCATTATCTTTCTACTCATCTACTCTAAGTTTGTATCAGCCACACATGTGTTTCCGTTGTGCTGCTGAGCTTCCATGTCGTGCTAGTTCGGCGTTCTAGCTTTGATCTTGAAGTCAACAGTTCCCCCTTTGTCTTGTCCTGAACTGCTCTGGTGTGATCATAATAGTGATAGAGCATCTGAAGAAAAAAATGGAGTTCCTGGTTCTAGTCTTTGGTGATGAAAGTCAATTTTTCTACAGATAATCCCTTTTCTTTCCCTCAAACTGATGAATACGTGTATAACAGTACAGTCAACTTCGCTAATAACGACTTCGGATATAACGACAATTCGCGAATAACGACAGAATTGTCATGCCCAGAGCAAAGTCCCATCTGACTGTATACATTTAACTTCGGATATAACGACTATCTGAATAACGACAATTTGCGAATAGCGACACGATTTTAGTGCCCCGAGGTCATATTCACTGCTTGAATAACGACTTTCTGGGTTTTTGACAGCTATTTCAAGTACCTGTCATGCAGAAGTACCAGGACCCGTGGCGATTGATAAGGCACACATACAAGTATATACAGCCGGGGGGGGGGGGGGGGGGGTGCTTTTTAATTTTTAATTTTGCTTAAAAAAAATGCAAGCTGTACATGAGTGCACATTAATCTTCATACATGTACATGAACATGTCCCTGTAGATGGCTCCAAAAGGCTAATTTTTCAACTTTATTTCCCTTGGATATTGACTTTATAGTTCCTTTCAATTGCAATACGGAAATAAAGTACAAATTGACGTAGAGCATGAAAAGAGCTTCATTTCGATAAGCATGTCATACTATACAAAATATGGGTTCACATACATTCAAATGGGACTTCGGATATAAGGACACTTCGCGAATAAGGACACTTTTCTGATGCCCCGCCGAATGTCGTTATTCGCAAAGTTGACTGAATACCATTTATCACAATAGCAAAGTCCAGACTCACCAGGAGAAAGTCACGCAGCTCAGCAGCAAACTCAATCCCGGTTGGACCACCACCGACAACAACGGTGTGCAACAGCCGCCGCTGCTCCTCTTCGGTTTGCCCGGGGAGGTAGGCTGTCTCAATGTTATCCATGATCTTCGTACGGATGTTCTGGGCATCTGGGATCTCCTTGATAAAGTGTGCATGCTTGTCGACACCAGGGGTCTGAAGCCGTGTCGGTGGAGAAACAAGAGCGGAGCATGGCATTGAATACAACTGGAAAACATCACAAGGCTGCTGTAAAAATAATGGAGTACAATCTGAAGTAAAGAGGTTATGAAAACTAACATGCCGGGAGCCAGGACTGATGATAAGAGACTGGTCCTACATCTGGTTTTCATCCCATCACTACTTTGCCTGGTCCAATGAAAGCACTCCATGACAAGGTACTCCCAGCATTCAGCCAATTTCAAGCCGGTGACTTCAATACAAGTATATGCATGGCCATACAAGCACATACATACTACTGTAGTATATCAAAACACATACTCGCCAATCATTGCTGCTGACATCATAGCAGACTTCCTATAACCAGTTACCTCCACACAAGCAGCCAAACACGTCCACGTATTAATGCACCACTGCAACCCCACCAAGTAGGAGTACCAATAGGGCACACGCTGATCATTATACATGTACCTACATTGAAGGTGCTGGTCCGAGAGCCTACTGCCACGACCAGCTGATCGAATGGCAGATCGAACGATGATACATCCCCAACAACACCAGATGTATCACGGCAGCGTACAACCTTGCGAAGAAAAGCATGGAAACAAAGGCCGCAGACACATAGGGTAGCAGCCAAAGTCCATGCACCTCAACGCTGTTACTCAAAATCTGGACAGGAGGATATAGATCAGTTCTGACCGAAAGTTATTCTGATCAGTGGGTACATGCGACTACACACAATTCTGTCCATTGGTCTAGAGTCATTATTCTTGATTATATACCGTAAACTTGCGCATATTAAACCATGGTTTTATATTCGAATACAAGACCACATCCGGTTATAAGACCATGGTCTTGTAAGTGAATGTACCGGAGGCGTACACCGATTTCATGGTACCGGTACACGTGCTACGATGTGATGTATGTGTGGAGCATGCGTGCACACCATACTTGCACATGAAGGGCTCCAATTCAAAACGCGATAAAGACCAAACTGGAGCTTTTGCGTTTTTTGTCACGAAAGAATTCGTTTTCACCCCACGGACGTCTGTGTGTTGGTTTTACGGGTCAAAACGCGATAAATCCCAGTCAAAATGATGCCTGAAGCTTGTGTTCTTCTGCAAAACGCGATAAAAGTAACTGATGCTGCAGTGCACACTGGCAAAGAGAAAAATTCAAAAATGCACTTCCTGAAATTTCCACAAAATGGATTTGTCTCGTTTTTGAATAGGAGCCCTTCACATGTACATGCCGATGTGATGTTTGCCTCTGGCATACCGTGTTTTTATATTCGAACGAAAATGCACTTCAGATGTTCAAACTACAAGATAACCGTGATACACTCCACTTCAGAAAGCTTAGTCCTCAAGCGCTTCGGCGTTCAATTACTACAATGTAGTAAATAAACTCTGCCGTCAGAATCCATCCAAAGCCGCTGAACCTGACCCGAAGCCGGTGAAATTCATCAATCTCCTGTCGCAATCAAGATTTACGTGTTTTGAAATCTCCATTCTCTCGACCCCACATTGGGCAGCCACATGATACCTACACATCAGCTACATGCTCACAGGTTTTTTTTAAGTTGTGCAAGGAGTCATGCACGGTATTGCTTTCCACTGCCCAGTTTTACAAGTAGAGCCAGTAAACAGAACGGACGGCAAATTCCATTTGTATGTCGATAATATGGTAATAATCCGCCAATTTCGGGCCATCCGAGAATATTTTACATCTTGAGTCCAGAATGTGTAACCTAAAGCCCCATTTGGCATCATTCCAAGACATTTATCGTCCGCTAATGTACCTTCTTGTCAGCATCAATCAGGACGCCTTCCGCCTCGTAGTAATGGGCAAGGTCACCATGGCTTCGTTGCAGTAGTTTCCGAATAGGCGCCGCAATACTCCGTGCCTCCACCGTGCCGACAGTGACGGACGGCAGCAAGGGTGTGAAGAGGAAATAATTGCGTGGAGAAACTACATGTATGTCGTACAGGCCTGGATCCAACTGACGCAGGAGGCTCATAGCACCCCAGCCTGAACCGAGGACGACCAGCTTCTGCTTCTTGCCCACTTCTTCCGGCCATGACTTTTCCAGTGCAGAAATTCGATCCCTGTGACGTCTGTTTTTTGCGGCCAGTGTCCCTAGTACGAGAAATCCACCTGCAGCGGCTCCATAGAAAGCCAGGCGAAATCTTCCACGCCACTTTCCACGGGTTGGTGTTTTGGTCGCCAGCAAACGGCGGAATTGCAGCTCTCCACCAGCGCGTATGCCACAGCGATTGAACTGTTCAGCGGCCGCACCCATTTGCCCCCTGCTGGTGCGCTGACAACAGCGGGCACTACATCGTGACCACATAGTCCAGAGAAACTGAAACGGCTTGCACTTGCAATTGCAGCGCGTTACCTGCCCGTGATGAAATTAGTGCCAACACCGTGAGTTTTCTCTCTCACAATCGGTACAGAGAAAACTAACTCACTTGACGTCTTCAGCTAGCGCCTATTTCCACTTTCAGAAATTTATAAACTGAATTGACAAAATTCCATGTCCACGACATCGACATGTCGACAGTCAGTAGCCTGAGTAGGAGCACTCGCGTAGGACATGTCGACAGTCAGCAGATCTACCGGTACGGAGGAGCACTGTATCGAGTAGCAGTAATCCGCCGCGTTGAAGAGTAGTAAAATATCTACACAGTCACAGCGCGAGCGTCGAGCGGGCGGCGTGCGGACGACGAGTCGACTACTGAAGGCGTGCACGTGACAACTATCACGTGGTACGGAAACTGTAAAAGGGGAAAACACCATTAATTTTTGTGGCCGATTCTTTTGTGTGACGCGGTCGAAGCAGCTCTCGACAGCACAGCAGGACTCAAAAAACGCGATCGAGGATGTGTTCGACTTCATCGACATCATTCATTGCTTTTTTGTTTTGGCTCGCGTTCCACCTCGTTCACGGCCAAAGCGGGGCCTGTGAGGGCCAGCAAGGCAGAGCCATAGCCATGTTGAGGCACGTGTGTGTCCGCAGAAGCTCCAGAGCGCCACTGGATTCCTGTGTTCGAGCCTGTTTAGGCAATGGACACCAGCAGCCTGCACGTTCTCTGTTCACGAGGTCTGATGGAAAACTTGGAAAGCGCAGCAAATGGCGTATGGTACTGTATGGCGTAGGTGCCGCCGGCTCGTTGGTTGTACTGGGAGTAGCCTGGAAGGGTAAGCAGAGGAGAGATCACCTCAGAAACCTGGAGAAAAACTGGGATGAACTTGCACCTCGGAGGAAAAGGCTGGTTGTCCTTGGTTCAGGCTGGGGTGCTATGAGTCTCCTGCGTCAGTTGGATCCAGGCCTGTACGACATACATGTAGTTTCTCCACGTAATTATTTCCTCTTCACACCCTTGCTGCCGTCCGTCACTGTCGGCACGGTGGAAGCACGCAGTGTCGCGGCGCCTATTCGTAAACTGCTGCAGCGTAGTCATGGCAACCTGGCACATTACTATGAAGCGGAGTGTGTCTCAATTGACGTACGGAACAGGGTAAGTGTTTAGCTACTGGAGGTTATGATAATCCTATGCTTGTTTAAATGGCACTCCATGCCGTATGGGCATCCGTTCTCATAGCTTTGCTAGATGAGTTCAGGATGATGTCGTTTTAGTGTCGTCAGGCGCCTGGTGTAAGCGAGAGTACATAACCCCTGAAGTGTGCGACTCCACTATCAAGTATCAGTGCTGCCCCGTCAGAATTTTAAGTTGACGTCAATTTCAAGACATTTTATGACACAACTTGACAGATATGGATGCATCTTAGTCTTAGACCAGTGGCAGATATATCATCGTTTGGTACTGTACATTACTAAAAGCTTGTGCCAGCCAACACGTGTGGCGAGTGTTCAAACCTTTGTACAAACGCCGGAAATCGCTCTCGCAAGGAGCATTGCATCGTGAAAATGATGTCAACTAATACTTGAAATTCTGTCCGGATGGCACTTCATGCAGGAGTTGCACACTGGGGGGGGGGGGGGGGGTATGTTCTCATGGCTGTGTGTGCGCGTGTGTGTGTGTGTGTGTGTGTGTGTGTGTGTTTAGAGGGGGGGGGGGGGGGTTGTGGCGAATGAGTTCTGGATGGATGAGAAGGAGGCATGAGAACATCCAAATTTTTCGCTGAGCCATCCTGTATGCCTTTAGATGAACGATCATTTTGTTGTTGTAAAAATGAACAATGAATCCATATAGTGCATTGGTCTCAGACAGAGTCCACACCTGATGGCGGAAGTCACTTCCATCTCTCGACACGAATTGCTGAGTCCCACTCAAAGACATTGTACTAATGCCCACTGCACAGGGACGTGTTATCAATTTTCACGTTCATCTGTCTAGATCAATAATCTGGAAAAGTCAGTAGATCTGCACATGTACATGTAGATCAGTCAGCCACCTTGGCTCAGCTCAACCCTCCAGGAGAATTCTATGCGTGGAATCCGAACATTAGTGAGGTTTCGCTCTACGGAATTACGTATGAAAATAACGTAGGAACTGCACGTAATTTTCATACGTACAAATCAGAGCTGTTTGGTTTCGCTCTACGTGATCTCTCCACGACTGCTACCTTGTTGTTTTGGAGACGCGTTGGCTGTATGTGCCCACCGCATGCACCACGAACCGAAACCGTGTTTTCCATTTAATTTTGCACGTGGTGTACGGTGTGTGTACCTTGTGTTCCGCGCGGCTTGAACATTGCCGTGGATAATTACAGAGATTGCGAAACATACTTCAAAAGTATTTCAAAAAGTCCTGCGGAGGACCCAACGTAGGAAAGAGCTTTCCCACGGAAATTCGTAGAGAGATTTACGTATGAAAGTTGCCCTCGCTCCCCGGCGCGTACGACATACGGATTTTCATACGTAATTACGTAGAGCGAAACCTCCCTATTGTATCAGTTTGCCCCAAATCGCCTAGTAAGCTGTGAATGAACATCTTCCAGGCATTTCTCGTGGGTAGCACAAGATACAAGAAATGATGATTTTTGGAGCTATTGGACACCTTTGCCTAGCTAGCGCCTCCTGACAGGGCATGGGTATAGCAACAATGATGTTGCTTGAGTGCTGGATGCTCAAGATTTACTGGATGGTTTTTTCACAGTTACGTTTCAGGGTTGAATCTGAAAATGGGACTCGTGATTGCTTAATGGTGTGCACCCCTGCAGCGCATTACGTGTAAGGACACATCTGAAGTGCAGGGTGCTGTGTCATCATTTGAACTGCCCTTCGATCAGCTGGTGGTTGCCGTTGGATCTCAAAGCAATACATTCAATGTGAGTATGAACTGGCTGCATGTGCATGTGTGGTGGGGGTGGGGAGACTGGCATTGATTGGGAGGTGATCGTCCTTTTAGTTTAGTTTGCCAATCTAGCTGTGAGTCGTGCATATTGTATCTGTGTGTGTGTGTGTATGCGTGCGTGCGTACGTATGTGTGTGTGTGTGTGTGTGTGTGTGTGTGTGTGTGTGTGTGTGTGTGTGTGTGTGTGTACATGCGCGTGTGCATGCATGCCAGCTAATTCAGTTCTGGGGAGTCGACAGACAGAGGGAAAGAGAGGGACAGAGACAGACAGACAGACAGACAAACAGAGACACAAACAGAGACAGACAGACAGACAGACAGAGATAGAGAGAGAGAATGTGCGTGCGTGTGTGTGTGTGTGTGTGTGTGTGTGTGTGTGTGCGTGCGTGCATGTGTGTGCGTGAATGTGTGTGTGTGTCCCATATAGTGCAGTGGTATGTGCAGTCAATTTCCAATCGAGGGGTTGCGGGTTCAATTCCCGGCGATTATGGTCGCACGTGTTTTTCGTCTCTTTCTCATTCTCCTAGCTCTTCTTTCATTCTCCTGGGTGGTTACCAACAGCCGGTGTTTGCCGGCGTATGTGGTGTGGCGTGCTTCTGTCAAAAAAGAAAAAGAAAAATGAAAAATAGGGATTCACTGGCCAGAAAAAGCCACTTCAATCAGCTGTGTGGTGGATACCAGGCTAAAAATAGTGGCGGTCAATTCATCAGCCTTGCAAGCTGTTGGTGTAATTCCAGCACAATTTGCTATGTCTAGCATCGCTGTTCGCTATCATCGCTTCCGCGATGGGCATGTCTGAGTCTGAGTGTGTGTGTGTGTGATTGCAAGGTATGTTGCAGTTCTGTGTCTTTGCTGGAGTTATGTGATGGACTGTGCCTTGATTTGTACCAGCATTTCACGTTTTCTTGACTTTCCAGACTCCAGGTGTGACACGCTATGCACACTTCATCAAGGAGATACCCGATGCCCTCAAGATCCGTAAGAAGATTATGGACAACATTGAAACTGCTTTCCTGCCTGGCCAGACACTGGAGGAGCAGAAGCGGCTGATGCATACTGTCGTTGTCGGCGGTGGTCCCACTGGTGTTGAGTTTGCTGCTGAATTGCGTGATTTCCTCATGGTAAGATCATCTCTCTAACGTGCCATGTTGATAGTTATTTTGACTCGAACCTGCACTGGAAGCTAGATTTATACCTTACATTCATGGTGTAGATACAGTTCTGTTTTTGTTGCGCTATAGCAGAACCCACATTACGAACCCCTGGCACTACTCTTGGTTTAATTTGGGAGCCAATTGCTTGGACCATGAAAAACAATGGAGAACAAAAGAAACAACAGAAATAGTCTAAAGAATCAATGAGAAATCTTAAAACTCTCCCTTGAAACTTGGCAGGAGAATTATGTAGAGTAAAACTGACTGGCCTCTGCTCCATTTCCAGCGCTGCGTATCATGAGCGCTAACATTATCACCTCATCGCCTGCATATCTTCTGGTGTATGCCACACGCTAAAAAGAAGTGCACAGTAGCCCCAAATTCACCGCGCACTGCCCTGTACATGTGTGGGACGTGGGCAATCATCGTGACTCGTGACTATTGATGTAGTTACTGGTTTGGATGCTTGGTGTGTACAGGAGGATCTCTCAGCCCTGTACCCGGGCATCGCTGACAAACTTGTCATCTCCGTAGTTCAGGCGCAAGAGCACATCTTGAACAGCTATGACTCGGAGATCAGCACTTACACGGAAAGCGTGTTTGAGAAACATAACAAGAAGATCAATGTCATCACCGGAGCTAGGTAAGCTTTATTCTTGCCAGTGTTTCCTCTTTCGTAAAATCTGCTTATACTTCGAAATGCTTAAGTGTACATAATTATACTGTAATGTCGGGAGAAGGGTGAGGGGGGGGGGGGGGGGGGGGTGAGGTGCTTACACTGGATTGGCAATATACAGTCATAGTCCTTCACATACTGGTAGTAGGCAGTAAGGTCTTGCTTGTGGAGCCACACTTACCTAGGGCTCCCACCCTCTCCCTACCTCCGCAAAAAAAGTTTGGATATATGTAAGCGTACATGTACGTTTCAACTGGCCCTATCTTACAGGTGATTGTGTACGACCTTCACAAATTCCAGTCCTGTTGCATCTCCTGTGTTTAACTCTGTGTAACTGCAGGGTGACTGAAGTGGAGGAGAAAGTGTTAACAGTGCGCGATAAAGCCACGCATGAGGAGACGCAGCTACCGTACGGACTGTGTATCTGGGCTGCGGGCAATGCGCAGCGACCACTTGTGCGACAGCTTGTTGACAGCACACCGGAACAGACAAATAAGTAAGCTGCTGCTGCTGCTGGATATACTCTTACTCGTACTGTAACATTACAAACTTTTGAAAACGTTTGATGATAAATTAAAAGTGTTTTATCAACAAAAGTTTTCAAAGTTCGTAGTGATAATTGATTCTACTTCGAAGCACATGCACTTCTGAGAGAACAGAGCAAACGAACAGCTCAACTGAATTGAAATTGAATTTGCTGTTCATTGCCAGGGTTCATCCGTGAGCAGTAACATATCTCTCCAGGATACGGCCGCTGAGGTAGATCCACGCCCCGTGGTTCTGGGCGATGTTCCTCAGCTCCTCAAGATCTGGCGAGGTCTTGAGGGTCCTCTCATAACCTGATAGCAATGAAAAATAAATTTTCCAAAGCCAGATTTAAACCAGGTCCGAACGTACATTGCCAGAGTGCTCAAACTGACAAGTCAGTGAGCTGTGCCGAACGCACACAGCAAAGGCACTACCGAGACCAAATTAAAAAGGGTTCACTGGGCTGTTCGCGCTTCTTTTCTCATTCTTCTCTGCATAGGCACGGTCTTGTGACGGACGACTACATGCGCGTGAAGGGTGCACGCTGTGTCTACGCACTAGGAGACTGTCACACTAGTGACACAGGTGTGCTCACCAATCAGGTAAGCAGCTCTTTGTCAGCTAGACAGTGAACTGTGCCCGTATGGCCGATATGGCCAAGGGCGGATCCAGAGATCTCTACAGGGGTTCCAGTTTAGACAAAAACTGAATAGCTGATACATGTACATACAGTCAACTTTACGAATAACGACATTCTGCGGGCCATCTGAAAAGTGTCCTTATTCGCGATGTGTCCTTATACCCGAAGTCCCATTTAAATGTATGTGAACCCATATTTTTGTATAGTATGACATGCATACCAAAATGAAGCTTTTTTCATGCTCTATGCCAATGTGTACTTTATTTTCATATTACAATTGAAAGGAACTATAAAGTCAATATGGAAGGGAAATAGATTGAAAAATTAGCCTTTTGGAGCCATCAACAGGGACATGTACAATCATGTACTAGTACATGAAGATGTGCATGTATGATGATTAGTGTACAAATTACAATCATGTACAACTACATGTAGCTGTGCTGATCACTCCAACTGCTGTATTTAGAAGCGAAATAAAAAAATTAAATAAAAAGCCCCCCCCCCCCCCTGGCTGCATCTTCTTGCATGTGTGCCTTTATCCATCGCCATGGATTCTGGTACTTCTGCATGACAGGTACTTGAAATAGCTGTCAAAAACCCAGAAAGTCGTTATTCAAGCAGTGAATATGACCTCGGGGCACTAAAAGCATGTCGCTATTCGCGAATTGTCGTTATTCAGACAGTCGTTGTATCCGGCGTTAAATGTACACAGTTAGATGGGACTTTGCTCTGGGCATGGAAATTCTGTCGTTATTCGCGAATTGTCGCTATATCCGCAGTCGTTATAAGCGAAGTTGACTGTACATGCATATGGTCTCCAGTAGTAGATTTGCAAAATTTAGAGCGCTCCGCGGACACCCCCTGGATCCGCCCCTGGATATGACCAAGGGTGTGATATATCTATGCCGGTGTGCATATGTGCCACTGTGTTCGTGTAGTGGTCTTGTTTGCTCAATACGGCTTGAAAGTGAGGACGTCAAAACGGCCAGGGAGTAGTAAGTTCACATCAGATTTCTACTTTGGATCCACTAAGGTGTGACTTTGCTATTGCCTCAGTGTGTGGGTGCATAGCAACCCACGCATGTCGTAGGCAGGTGTGACTTTTTTTCGCCACCAGTTGTCACCTTACCCCCATTAGCCAACCCAGTCAATTTCACTGGCTACTGTAAACCGCCCTACATGCGCGTCAATAAATTTTCGCGATTTCTTAGAACCAGCGAGTTTGCGCAGCACTGGGGCCACCTACATACACCCACTGTTGAAGTTTGATTTCACGCTGGCTAATATTCGTGTTACGCTCTTCTCTCGAAAATAGCGAACATTAATCCGCCGCGAATATTAGGTAGTTTACAGTATCACCTTGCTGTGAGTAAGACCGCTTGAAATGTGCCTGGATCCATACAGAGGATCCAGTTTTTGAATTTTTGAAATTGTTGCTATGCTGTGACGTAGCACTTTCAAGCCCTATTCAGTCGTGTGTTTATTTGCAAGGAAGGATGGCCTGTTCATATTTTCGTATCATAAAAATTGCTTGACTTTCACGATCTCTTTCATTTTCAAAAATTTCAAAAAATCTGTTTTTAACCCTTTACCATCCGTGCGTACTTGAATCGATCTCTAGAGATCGATGGGCATGCATACATTAAAACATTCTAGCTCGATCGATTCTTGTCGGAATTTAAAGAACTAAGTATCTAGGAAGAAGCCGAAGAGCTCAGCTTTCCATTGCATCAATCGGTAAAGAGCTACGATGTCGCATTCCAAAGATATTACGCTCGACATTCCAGCTACGGCAAAAGTCGAATTTCTTTCCGAGTGACTGACCTTGAGCGGGGATTTTCCACTCTCCTGACATGCTGAGTCGTTTTGGCATGCTTTGAACGCGTGGGCAGCATGAAAAGAAACTCAAGCAAAAAATTGGAATGTTTATGATGAAGGAGTGAGAAATGGCTGGCGAGGAGAGAAATTCCTCGTATATCCAGCGATGGGGTGTATTTGAAGCTCCCTGGCGCTGGATATGTGATCTTGGTAGTGTCCTGTTTGAGCTCAATGTACGCAGCTCGTGGAGAGCTTTCCAGAATGCCCAAGATTGTGAAAATTGGTTGATTGGAACCGCAGATATTCTCAGAATAAGGCGAGAATTGTTGCATTTGGAACTGCTGGGGAAATTTGGTCGGATGGTATTAAAGGGTTAAATTATTTCTTTTTTTTACAAAAAAAATCACGCATTCAACTCGTTGATAAAAGTTTAGAATACAACAAAACAGAGAAGCCAATGACTACTGGGCATGGGTGGCAAGACACAGCAGTGATAGTTAGGCGCTATAGGCCCCGCTGACGTAATGTTACGTCTGAATATCGTTGCTTATGCTTATGCAATCATCAGGCAGGTTTTGCCTGATGATTGCATAAGCATGAAACTCAGAGTAGCGACAAAATTAGCCTTGCCCTTGTTGTTCTGCATACAGAGATTAAGGGTGAATGCACATGTACCGTAAAGTCCGCTGCAAACGCCCACTTCGCAGCAAACGCCCACCCCAGCGGGTCCATACTATTTTCGTCTTTTTCAGGTCAATATAGTTGTAGAAAACTGGCATGAACATCGAATGCGTACGAGAACGACTGTAATGCTTACAAACTGCCTATGTCTTACCAGGAGGCTCCGCAAAAGCGATTGTCTTTATCTTGCTGCAAAGAAAAACTTCTGTCGAGATTTCCTTTCATTCGATAAATGAGTCGTCTTTGTTATTAGTTCGTTCTCCATGTGGTAATGCCGTAGAATCCATCTGGTTTTCAAATCCTAAAATTTCTCCAGTCCCACAATGTCGCGCTTTCAGAACGGAACGGTGATTGTTCTGACAAAGCGTCATTCAACGACTTGACCGGTCGCAGTATTGCAGTTGCAAGTCGAAGAGGGGGGATGTCACAGAAGCTACGCCTACAAAGTCGCTGCTAATTAACTTGTTGAAAACTCTGAAGTGCTCGAGAAAAACCCTTGCCTTTGCGCGTTGCGTGATTTGATGGCTTAAACACCGTCAGAAGTGTATTAGGTTCCTGCAATACTCTGTTCTTTGCGACCTTGTTATTCGGAAGAAACTCCCGCTTGGATTTGCGAAATAAAACAACCAACATCATAAAATCACTACGAACTAGCTCGTAGCTAGTGCCCAAAGAGATTTTGAAACCCGGAAAGTGGACATAGTTTACCGTAGCAAAGTGCTCTTCGCGCTACGGTGTGAGATACCGTTTCGTACAGTAGGGGTGACAGTGCATGGAGTCAGTTCGTACAGGCCAGCAGATCTTGCAAAAATGGGGTGGGCGTTTGCAGCGGACTTTACGGTACATTATGTCATGTACGCAAGTATGAGTACTGTTGCCTGTTGGCCACCGAGTGATCATCTTACTGCAGGTACATTCTTCTAGCACAGAAGTACATGCGCTGTGCACTGTTAGGTCGAGCAGCCACGTATCACAACTATAACCCAATGCTGTAGACAGCTAGCTGTGTCGGCCATCTTTGCCTCATCAGTACAGCTATGAGCTTTAAGTAAGCCGAACTGCCAGCCATGGCACAAAGGTGGCGCCACCGACATTAAAGGGGAAGGTAAGCCTAAAATCAAACTTTCAATGAAAGGTGACTTTCTTTTTTGGTCTTCGAGGCTTGTCATGTGATACCAGAGTCCAGGCGTCATCTGCATCATCCATGGGTGGGACAACGTGGGACCGTCCTTTGCTTTGGACATCCTTTGCGTCCTGACCATGATGGCCAGTGCTCTGCTTTTCGTCTGCTGGGTTTCTGCTGCAGTATGCACTTCCGTACGGTTTGCTGCAGGTACTTCATGATGTTGGGTTTCTTTTGTCAGTTCGTCAGTTCCCGCATGCTTAGCTGCAGCGTGGGCCTCGCGACTACTGGTACGAGTATTCGTACAGTGCGCGTCCCCAGTGCTGTCCGTTGCTACAGGCGTTGCCAACGAAGTTTCTGTAGAGTGTTCTGTGCTACGGTGCATTGAGTCTGTACTAGCACGCTGGACTTTGCCCCCAGTGACAGCCGTTGACAGGTTGCCGCTCGTTGTTGTGTGTCCGGCTCAACTGCCCTTGGCCTGCTGCTGCTGCTCATCGGTTTCGCGATGGCGGATGCCTTGAGCGTGACCAATTCATCTTTTAGTCCTTTTATCTCTGCAGATAAATCTGAAATGCTGTGGTTCATCATCGCCGCACGGTCTGCGGATTCTGTGGCCAGGGTAGATAGCGTCTTCACAACTCCTAGCAGCGAGTGCTCCATCCCTGGGAGAGAACAAAGCAGTTTCATCTGGGCTTCGCTTGAAAACTCGCCCATGGTGACGGCCTGCCACCGGTGTCCTACCTAGACTACGACTACACTATACTATACTACTACTACTGCTTTCTACCTAAAAATACTATGCCTGCCTCCAATCCGGCCTGGTGCCGGCTTTGCTGAAAAGAAACAAAAAAAGTCGACGAGAGCTCGAAAACGTGTGCCTGCCTGGGCAACATGTTCTTCTTTTACGTAGACGTTGATTGCTCGTAGTTTGTAGATGCTTTGTCTTCCGTTGCAATGTGCAGAACACTCTGCTGCTCTCATGTCCCTTCTTCTCTTCATGATCTGTGCAACATAGGCCGAGAAACTGTTCCATCAAGCGGACGTGAATGGCGATGGCTATTTGTCGTGTGAGGAGTTTCACAATCTGATGGAGAAAGCCCAGCGGATGCATCCGCACGTGAATGTCTTCTTTGCAACAGTGAAGTCAAGGTACGGTTTATCCTGCCTGTGTGTGTTATCCCTCCCGTCTGTGTGCTTATCATAATGATCTGTGCATTATTCTGGCTGTCTGTGCATTATTCTGGCTGTCTGTGTATTATTCTGGCTGTCTGTGTATTATTCTGGCTGTCTGTGTATTTGTTACTGTGCTACTTAGTATGATGATACCTTTGTTGTGAGTTGTTGTTTTCGCATGTTTTAAAATAGTATTCGTCTTCAGGAGATCTGCAGTGTCCTCCTCTGATGTATTGTCAGATCATTGTTCTCGTATCATCAAGACTATACTGTAGTACCCCTAAAGTGGTGCAGCTCCAGTCTGTGTTGTCTGCGACGGTCGAACTTCACATCACGTGACAATACCTGTGCATGATGTCTGCGCGCTCTTTGCCAGCTTAACCTATTGAACCATGTGATGTGAAACTCTGCCGTCGCAGCCCTGGAGAGTGTATTGGAGAGGGGTTAGACAGACAGCTGCACACTCTTGGGGTTATGTACTATGTACTCTTGATATTATGCATGGGAGGTGCCGTTGTCGAGAACATGCATTGATTCGCCGTAGCTCAGAGTTAGCCCTTGGCATATACATTACTATACCTTATTGGATTGTTGACCATTATCAGGTTTTCTTGATAGATGTGGAATGATATTATCATCACGCCATTATCCTTGTAAGTAGTTCTAGTGGTGCTGTACTTCTCTGGGCGCCTTTTCTCGTTTCCATGCACAGCGTGTTCTGCGGTGCTGACGAAAACCAAGACAACCGCTTGGACATTACTGAGTTCAAGCGGCTGATGGCGAAGGTTGACAATGAACTACGGATATTACCGGCGACAGCAGCTGTGAGTACATTGTTGTAGCTTTGCTAGCTACATGTGCTCTCAAAGAAATTCATGATGTATAGCAGGTTTTACCCTGACTACTCATGTATTTTATGTTTTATCTCAGTGTGTGTATAAAATGTGTGTGTGTGTGTGTGTGTGTGTGTGTGTGTGTACTCGCGCTTGCGCATGCGTATGTATAGTTGTGTTTGTAGTTAGTGAATTCACTGCTGCACTGTCAAACGGCCCATGGTAATTGCGGCGACCATTGGGACTTGCCGTAGCAATGAACCCCTGACTTTGTAGTCATCTGCGTTTGGTTTCCATTGGAGTTATTTCTCTCCGTTGTTTTTTCCCAGGTTGCTAATCAGCAGGGCATGTACCTTGGCTCGTTGCTGAATCAGCTTTGGGGACCGTCGGTTGCACTGGACGTCAATCCGGCCATGACCGGTTGCTTGCCATTCCGCTACCGCTACATGGGCTCGTTTGCCTATGTCGGCGATAACCGTGCAGTCCTGCAGGTCAGTTGTGCTTGTTGTCTGTGTTGCATGCACACACATCTCTTGACTTTTTGTAATGAAGAGAGTGCGGTCCTTGTCACGAGTCTGCATGTGTACCTTTTGGATTGTCGTCTTCAAAATACCGTAATTTTCCAGTTGTGAGTCAACCCTTGTTATACTATACATCACCAGAGGATTAATCCCAACTTCATTGCGTGCAGCACCAATGGAACTATTAGTAGTGTCCAGTACTCAGTACCGGTATTAATCATGTGTAGTGTCCAATACTCAGTACCGGTATTAATCATGTGAACATACAGTTACATAGTCATTGTGAAGGCTGGCAAACTCTGCAAACTTTCCCTGGCCTCAACCCCAACCCTACCCACCTACGAGCTAGCTGTAGGTGTATCGTATTGGCGCATACCCTGTATGGCTTAGCATCTAATGATCAGAAGGGATCTGGCTTTCTGGATGAAAAACTCGAAATGCTAACCAGCCGACAATTGGTGCACTGTAAAGTTTAAACCGGGAAACTGTTGTGCTGGTTTTTGTTCGCGATTTGTAAGCACACGCCAATTTGCACCTGGAAATGTTTGCGATTGGAGTCAATTTCGTTAGTTTTCCACTTTTCACGATAATTTACCCTCTGTGCCGGCCAGTTTACAGTACCTGAATCGTGCAGTAGAGAAGAAAAATTCAGTAGATTTACCTGTGACGCAAATCCTGAATAAAGACTATCCATAATTGAAAGTAGGCACCTCCTGCAAATTTGGTGAAGAAGTCCGCAACTGTCTGTGGACTGTTTGTCACATGTACATGGTGTGCTGCAGGTACCTGTGTTTGGCTCCCTGAAGGGATGGTGGACAATGCTCCTCTGGCGCGCCTTCTACTTCAGCTCTCTGACTTCGTGGCGGACACGGTTCATGGTCGGCGCAGACTGGATGAAAGCGAGGTTATTTGGCAGGGACACGTCCCGCTTGTAGATCCAGCTCAGCTTGCACTCTGAGGATGGGGTTTGCGGCGGGTAATCATTAGTTCCGGCTGTGCGGAAAACATGTACGCCTCTCCAAGCTGAGGGAAGTGCATCCATTGCAGTGCAAGGCACTGCTGCATGGCACCTCTCACTAGCAGCTGTCCCTCCAGAACTAGTCTAGTCTCAGAGGAATAAGTCCGACTTGAAAATTTACTAAATGTACAGTATGCAAACAACCATTTCCTAGACGAATATATTTTTTCAATTGGCAACCCGAAATTAATTGATAGTCTTTCATGTCCCACACGCACACATTTCTAGGTTTACCACAGGGGAAAATCTTTCCCGGAACATCATAAAATTTAGACAATGCTGTTTGCAATAGAATTTGAGTTGTTCATGCGATTTATTAGACGTACCCTATTCACAACTCAACTCCAGTTACACCTGGTATAATCCATTCATTGTTCTTCCGAATTATTCGTGTGGAATCAATATAAATATTATTTATATACAAAGGCGTTTTGTGAGTTTTCTGAATTTATGACTTCTCAATGACAGCAATACTGCCATACCAAATATATTGATTGATCCATGTTGATATAATTATCATCAGAGCTAGTTTAAAGAATTGCATGACCGCTTGACAACACATTTTGTGCAATTTAAGTTCAAATCAAGATGCACCAACGTTATCTGAGTATGTTTCATCTCTCAAAGTAATTTCGAATGATAGCTTGTGGCAGGTTGATCAGTTCAACTACTCTATCCTCCTCCTCTCTCTCGCTCTCTCGCTCTCTCGCTCTCTCTCTTTCTCTCTCTCTTTCTCTCTCTCTTTCTCTCTCTCTCTCTCTCTCTCTCTCTCTCTCTCTCTCTCTCTCTCTCTCTCTCTCTCTCTCTCTCTCTCTTTGCTATAAAGGTTTTGCTTGGTTGAGTTTCGCCATGCAGCTGCTAGCGCTTGAAGATGTTGGCAACATACACCCATAGAGACACGACTTCATTCGGGTAGACGTGGGCATACACTGCCAGGGCAAATTCCACCTATGCATACACAGCAACACACGCAAGCATAAACAATCAATCAGCTGTCAAGTGAGGGGGATGGGGCTCTGCTCAACTCGTTTGATGTCAGTTGCCATGGACTAATTCCCCCCCCCCCCCAGAAAAAGTTAACCGACACGATCACGTACTTCAACATCTGATGTTGTGGTGAAAGCAGGGAACATTGTTCTTGACAAACTCACTTCTAGCTCTACTCATGCTAGATTGCTACACTGCTAGACATGCATGGCTATACATGGGAGGTAAGAGACTGCATACCCAATTGTGCTACATGTATAATAGGTGAAAACTGCCCCAAAGTGCATATTTCGTGCCCGGGACTTGAGCAGTCATTGGCGTGATGAAAGGTATCGCTACCAATGCTGCTGTATGCACACATGTACAAACACAGTCACAGTCAGTGATGTGATGGTGATTGGCCCATGCAGAGCGCCAGGTTTGCACTTTAGGCAGGAATTTCATTTCACCAAGAGTTCATAACCCCAAGAGTGTGCAACTGCCCGCACAACCTCTATGCAGTGCTGCGACGGCAGCTTCACATCACGTGACATGGTTCAAAAGGTTACACTGGCAAACAGTGCAAGAGAGTTGAACCCAAAGCTGGGCTGCGTACAACCCTTTATCCCATGGTACGGTACTATAGGCCTGTTTCAGCCAATCAGGAGCCTTGCTGACCGGGAAATAATAGCCAATACAATCCCGCGCGGGATGATATTCATTATTAACTGGGTTCACTTTTACCGTACCTACTACGGTGCACCCTGCATTGGCATGCCCCCACCCCCTCTCGGTTCGTTGCAATGCATCTTGCCACTGGAGTCCTTTCGACCAGAACCCAGCGACAAAATGCACTACACAGAACCGTGGAGGGTGGGAGCATGCCAATGCAGAGTGCACCGTCGGTACAGTAAAAGTGAACGGAGAGAACTTACCTCCGCGACTACGTCCAAAACCAGATTCCACACAAACAAACAATGAACTCCAATCACTATTCAACTCAACACTACGACACAAAGGAGACTTCGAAGTGCATCAGTTCTCATTCACTCTTTGTAAAGTCGAAAACTACACAAAGTATCACCATCCGAGTGAAAATTACTAATTGCAAGGAGAGATTGCGTAACAACTCGAAAAGTACAAGACGTGAACGTGAGAGGAAAAATCTTGTACAGAATATTCAACAGTGTGAAAGAAGAAGAGCTCAGCAATCCATGTGTGATGTAGATAAGATATGGATGCAAGGTGCGACCCGCAGTGATTATCATGACATTGTATCCAGTACGATTACCACAAGAACAATCTAAAACGTAGATGCTGCTACAAATTCAGTATGCCTATAATAATATTATAACAAGAACAACGTTCTTCTGATTGCATAGTGGCTGATAGTGATACAACCAAGAGTCTTGATACAACGAAATGCACTTTACTCACTGGTGCCAATGTCCGACGATAATGTACAATGTGGTCACTGCCTGCACGGACAGTGTTCAGCAAGGATCCCAAACCGTTGAAAGTTCCACGCCGATCCAATGACAAGGAAGTCAGCACCAGCATCCATAATGACGTGGTATCTCGCCGTGACTTGAAGTATGGCCCTTACTGAACCAAATGACTATGTATCATAACAGTGCAATCTTCGTCAATTCTCTAGTCCAACTACTAAAATGCAACTTGTCTCCCGAGCTCCATCGCTCTCAAACCTTGACTGGATTGAAAAGAAACGCAGCATCTTGTTTTTGGTATAGCTGTACCTTGGTAATTGTATTCAGAACGCAGTTGCGTCGATCCCCAACAGGCGCGTGCTCGGCGATGGGCACGGGGGGCACGTGCACCCCCAAAAATTTTCAATCTGGGTAATTGCAATTGTAATGTATGCAAATATGCTCTAAAATTCAAGAAAGGTTGCAAACAAATTGCAGAAAATTGCCGGGGGGGGGGGGGGGGCTCCCCTCGGCTCCCGTGCACCCCCCTAGTTGGGGGGGCCGAGCACGCCCCTGCCCAAAATGCGTAAATGTACCTGGGATAAGTAGGATATTGACCCGCGTACTCGGGTGTTACCGTACCCTCATATCATCCCTCCTGCTACGCAGTCGGGATGATATTCAGGAGGTAACACCCTCGTACTTGGGTAATATCCTATACGTATCTATCCTGCACAGGGTGCAAATAATGTGTACAGGTTCATCACGTGATGTGAAGTTCTGCCGTCGCAGACCCCATAGCTGGAGTAGCACACTCTTGGAGGTTACTAGTACATGTATGTACTCTTGATTTCACCTATAGTACAACTGTAGCTCTCAATTCTCACCTTGGGGTCATCGTTGAGATGCAGTCCGGTGCTGTGGAGAGTTTCGACGACCGAACTCACGTCAGTGAATGGCATGTGCAGGGGAAAACCCGTCAGCTACGCAGCACAGAGCAGAGTGCACAGACAGGTTCTATTTCATGAAGCCTAGGCTATGGCACCAGCCCAGGTAGTGTCACCAGCCCAAGCAATGGCGCCAGCCCGGGCTATGGCACCGCCTCAGGCTATGGTGCCAGCCCATGCTATGGTGCTTGGCCAGGCTATGGCACCAGCCCAAGTCATCGGAGAAACAGAAATTGAGAGACTGCCTTCTAATTCAGCAACCCGGCACCCTCACACACCACCAATATTATGTGACTACCAGTATACCTGACCAATGTGTGCCATGCACAATTTTAAAATGTTCAATCACAAGTCACCTGCGAAGAATTCCTCACAGCAGACCGAACATGTAAGAACAGGGCAAATAGAGACGGAACCAGGCAGAGAGGGATGAGACAAAGGAGAAATCGAATTGTATGTGTTCAATCTTGGTGCACTTACTCTGTACGATTTCAAGATGTTTCTTAGATGCTCGTTGGACGTGGACACTGGAATGTCGTAGGGATTCGCTTCAAACCTATACAGCACAGGGACATTCAAGAGTGGAGCACTTCACCGCAGATATCAAAACTGAGATACGTGCACCTGTACAGGACAAGGGTATTCAACACTGGATCCCTTTACCGCAGCAGATATCGGATTGAGGTACACGCACATGTCCATCACAAGGACATTTCATGTCAGATACATCACCATAGCACTTCGCTTGGACCATCTGCGCACATACTGGTATGGCGTGATAAAACAGGACATGTCAGCAGTTTAAGTCCATGGACACGCCCGAATATCCAAACAACTGTCCCCGATGGGAACTTTCAGTGTTCCATACTCTCTCTCACCTTGGCAATAGCTCCTTCAGTCCTCGGCTGCAATACCTGAGTGAGCGAAAGAGAAGAGGAAGAATGAAAATGAAGAATGAAAATGAAGAATGAAAATGAAGTGACCGAGAGCATTAAAAACTGCCGCTGAATGCCACAAGGCCACTGCTTTGAAGTGAACTTGAGTGTTTCGACAACAGCACCAGCACCAATCAGCTTGTGCATACCTGTTCCAGTGTGTCACTTGCTGCTCTCTCCAGCCCATCAGCTCACTCATCAGACGCTGTTCCAGTCTGTCAACAGCAGTGCAAACAAATCGAACCGCCATTGTCACATACATGTACATGTACCTGGACTGGCTTTTCTTCCCTGCGGCATCATATTCCGCACTCCATTTGAACACAGTATTTTAGGACATTATTACACCGTGGGGTTCTGATAAGACGTGCTCCCCCCCCCCCCCCCCCCCTCCTCCCCCAACGGGAACATGCAAGTGCACTCAGTATCGAAGGTACCCAGAGTTCTTATCTCAGTATATTCTAAAATTGAGCTATACACTCTTGCCACCGGCAGTGCCCATACTAAGCAAGTTTACGTGTCTTATCAGAGACGTCTCTCTTGTGCCAGGTCAGCACCCACCATGCCTAGATACACCAGTGGCAGATGCAGTGCCTAACTGTTAGTCACGGGATGTACTACAATGTAGGTGACTTCCACTGTACATGCCAAGTTTTGAATCAGCGACCGTATGCCTAGGTGCTGCGGGAACACTCACTTGATGCAACTCGGCTTGAAACTGCTAGGTGTCTCGGGGCAAAGAGTGGCACGGTCATTACGGTAGAGATTGCAGCATGTCCGACAACTCAGAACACAGAACGCTGCCGATTCAACTGGAAAACACGGTCTTCCTGCGACTATCGATACAGTGTTCTACTACAGTGCTTACCCAGTTGACCTGTGCATACTCTATGTACATGTACAAGATGACACAATGACATGACTGTTCTAACCCTGCTTGTTACTTACACGACTTCGAGCTCCTGACCAAACGTCTCTGCTCCAACCTCATACACGAGGTGCTCACTCTGCAGAGCAAAAGAAATGAACAACTAACATCGGCGAACATAAACTGGAACACAATTTCCCAAAGACTGCACAAGTATCATAGCTGAGGTTCGCAAACTTCAGAGTGTATACAGATTTGGTGTGCTGACATTACACTGATGTAGCTTGCTCACACAAGTCACAAAACCTCGGTTAAAGTCCACATGTTAAGCACACACTGATTCACACCGAATGCAAGCCCGCACACGCACTGTCCAGTACCTGGATAGAGGTAAGATCTGGGGCAGGAAACGAGGACGTGAAGAAAGGACGCCAGTTCGACGTGCTGCTCAGGTCAAAAGTGATCTGCGATGGCTTCGTCGAAGACTGAACATTCGCCCAGACCTGTAAAGCATCAAGAGAAAAAGAGCCCACAAACCCGCGTTGATCTCACAAAAAGACTCTTCTACAATGACGATGCATGGCCGTGAAAACGCCTGGGAGTATGATGCATGGCCGTGAAAACGCCTGGGAGTATGATGCATGGCCGTGAAAACGCCTGGGAGTATGATGCATGGCCGTGAAAATGCCTGGGAGTATGATGCATGGCCGTGAAAATGCCTGGGAGTATGAAGCATGGCCGTGAAAATGCCTGGGAGTATGATGCATGGCTGTGAAAACGCCTGGGAGTATGATGCATGGCTGTGAAAACGCCTGGGAGTATGATGCATGGCCGTGAAAACGCCTGGGAGTATGATGCATGGCCGTGAAAATGCCTGGGAGTATGATGCATGGCCGTGAAAATGCCTGGGAGTATGATGCATGGCTGTGAAAACGCCTGGGAGTATGATGCATGGCTGTGAAAACGCCTGGGAGTATGATGCATGGCTGTGAAAACGCCTGGGAGTATGATGCATGGCTGTGAAAATGCCTGGGAGTATGATGAAATCCACACACAACCTCTCCCTACATCAGAGGTTCAAGAGAATTTTGATGATTGGGTACTAAGAGAATACGGCATCATTATAATTGAAGGAGCACGTCGGCAATCGAGGACTAATTTTCCAAATATGCAAAGATGGCCCAGTGGCAGATGTTCTACAGGACCACTACATTGAAGTACAGACTGTGTACGTGTCAATGCTCATGTCCACAAAAATGCACCCCCAGGAGAAACTTGACACTAGACGCGAACGTTAAGCAAAGCTGTACTTCAAGGTGTGTGCAGGGGGCATGGTCATTAGCTGTACTTCAAGGTGTGTGCAGGGGGCATGGTCATTAGCTGTACTTCAAGGTGTGTGCAGCGGGGCATGGCCATTTTTCATGATGCATACTCTACACGCTTGGTCATCATCCAAATCGACTCACATTCGTGTCATTGAACACGAAGTAGACATCTTGCAACGGACACAGTGTGTCATACTGCCGGAAATGCTCCCCAGTTGAGGGCTTCCAGAGATGATACTCGACTTTACCCGTCGGGTTGTAGCTGGAAACCAGGACGAATGCCGTATCACCTATGTACGTATATAGACGTACATACAGATATGACGAATCAATGTCATCATAGATAGGGAATGTAGATCGAGGGAGAGGAAGAGGAAGGGGAAGAAGGAAAGAGCAAGAGGAAGAAGGAGAGGACGATGGAGAGAGCACGCCGAGATACCCAGTAACATGCTGCTTGCTTGAAACGGAAAGAATGTTAAAATACCGTACTCGTGCAATTAGTGCCCCTGGGGCATTGTTTCTTTCAATGTCCAACACAGATGGGTAACTATTGAAGAGAGGGCACTATTTTTTCAATGCTGGTATATCTACGGCATCTCGCATAAAAACAAAGAAGGCAAAGAAAAACAGAGCCTAAAGTTTACTGTTAACTATCACGACTCAACAGAAAGGGCAACAAGAACTGTGATTCGGATCCTAAAACCAACCACCAGTTCAATGACATGGACAAGAACATTACCAAAGAACACCACACCAAACGTGCACATGTACTTGGTTACAAGCCCCCCGGGGGGGGGGGGGGGGGCACTAATCAAGAGAGGGCTTTATCTTTTCACAGGCTCTTAGAGACTGGGGCACTATTCGAGATAGGGCACTATTATCGCGCGAGTAGGGTAGATGGTGTCATACTTAGCTAGGAATGGCATACTTAAAGTCGGCTTCTCCAATGAACTCTAAATGCCAGCATATTTACTGGCATTTACGTACACTTCCATTTATAGAATAAATCAATGCATGTGTTCAACGTGACATACTTGTATGCCTAACTAGGATCCAGTAAGGCAGTAACCGCATATTTTTGGTTTGCTCATGACTTCGCCATGGAACCTTGTACACTAACCTTCCGGAATAGCACTGCCAACCAGTACCCATGCTTGCTGCTTCATGTGCAGAAAGTAATTGCACAGCAAGACGGCGTGCTCTTCCTCATCACCACTCAGCATCTGTAGAAACTCCTGAAGAGGCATTGCAAGGTGGGACACCATACTACCTGAGCAACTGCAGCGATAAGCTATGGCCACATGCAGCGGACACGTGCCAATGGGAATCATGCTAAAGCTTCCTGACTGTGCTGTACGCATGTCAATGACCCAGCGCTGACGGAAAGAGTCACTTTGATTATCACATTAGCTCGAATATCACCATCCAATGTCATCTGCATCAAGTTGCTTGGTCCAGACCTTGCAGAATGGTGATGGCATACCATACCGACACTTCGTCACTGGCAATAACCTTCCGGTATGATAATTATAATGATCATTTGACCATCATTCATTCATTTTACTTCATTAGTAAACTACGGCTGATCAACAGATTAGTGGAACTTGGAGCTGGTTGACCGCAGAATACCCCTAGTATGTAGCTCGAGGTGTGTGTGTGTGTGTGTGTGTGTGTGTGTGTGTGTGTGTGTGTGTGTGCGCGCGTGCGTGTGTACGTGGGCGTGTGTGTGCAGTGTGGGGAGGGGTGGGGGCGGTGGCGTCATACGCTACAGCCCCTTGGATGTACGTCTGGGAAAACCCGACAAAACGTTCCCAGGAATCGGATCACAAAAAAAGTATCTACCTGCGATGTGGACCACAAATCACATGTGCCAGAGAAGGCGGTTGTGTCCGGCACAAACGGAATCATCGACACAAAGTGAGCTGCCCGCTCCTTGTCCAGCAGAACAACATGGAGGAGAAAACAAACCCAAGTAACGCACAGTGACAGACATGCATTGAAAAGGAAAACTAGGAAACCTGCATGGAAATTACCAGTACTCTACCAGCTGTCTAGAAAATACTTCGAAGTATGGATACCACAAGTATCGGCTGAACATACTCACAGATGAACACAGACTGGAGAGTCTAGTGAGTGAAATACCAGAGGCTATCAAAGGCTTTATTGACAAGGCTAGAAAATGGTGGTTGTGAAATTGGCTAGATAAGACAAATTATTACTTGATGCACTGCAATGCTAAACAAGCGTGATGTGCTCCGAAGAAAGTAATTTTCTTACCAAATGTTTCATTGTCGGCACGGTATTCGGCTGATGCTGGCAAACCTGTGAGGGTGGACACTGCTTAGCAATGTAGCGCGTTACCAGAACTGTTCTTCCGTTCAAGTCCACTGCAGTCACCTGTTCCAATAGCAGACAATAGCCACAACGCTAATCAACATTCAGGTTGGCTTACTGTGAGAAGTAGCATGGTGCCCATCTGTAGTGCAGTACTGGATGATAGCATGTATCCTGAACATCTCTAGATTTAGTCACAGATACACACCCAGGCTCAGGTTACAACTTGTGTAGAGTCATACCCACTGGCGCTGTATAACACGGTTTAATTAAGCAACGCAATGGCGCTGCACCAAAATACTTGAAAAGGGAGGCCTACACGAAAGACCTCTCACAGACATCCAACCAGCCTCTCCACTTCAAAAACAGTTCATTGCACCCTTGATCAACTTAAGTACAATTAGTCTGGCCGCTTACATAGTTTTGCCGAGCGGGGAACTTGCTTGACAGAGTGTGCGTCCATTGGCGTGATGCCTTCAGTACGCGATGTTCCTCTCGACTTTCAAACTGAATGTATGGCACAATGAAAGCACAGAGCCAAAATAGCAATGCCGCGCACTTTAAACGGGTTCAGGAGTCTCTCCCAATGTACAGCCATGTGCATATCGCATTCACCAGGTGTGAAACAACACGGGACCCCAGCCTGACAATAAAAAACTATGATACTATGATAGTATGATAGTATGATAGCACTTCAAGTACTAGGGCTGTTGTGGACATAGAAACCCCGTGGGATGACCGTGGCTGGCGCACATACATGTACTACATAGCGTACACACACACACACACACACTGTAACACTGTCAAAAGGGAGCACCGGCGCATGCAGCAGTGCTCAACGGCTGCATGGCCAGCGCCCCGTGGCCGCTTGACTTATGAATAGATGTTTAATGTCCGCAACAGTATTTCCATGTTCTACACGCATGCCTGACTGCAGCTAGTCCAGCCAAAACAGTCCGGGCTACAGTCAGTAGTACCGATATTGTACGCACCAGACAATCCCAAACCCTGCATCTTTCCCTGCATTTCTCCATTGAGCGTTGCATGGCAAACCTGCCACATTACTGTTTCGGAGAAGCCACTCACTGTGATGTGTATTGAAGGCAAAGGCGCCAGCTTAGGCTCCAAGGTAATGTTGACAGTCAAGCAAGGACGGTCAAGTCGTTGACTTTCCCGCTGCAGCCACCAAGGCAGAACCCGTTCCTCCGGCTGATAAAGGTGATAGTCGAGGAGAACTAGCGGTACTTGGAGTTGGAACGTGCCGGAAACCTTTGTAAAGAAACACCAGAAGCATCATGCCATGCAGAAACATTGTATTTGAAGTCACTCATGTAGATATCGGAGTAATTGCATTGCACTTTGTGACAAGCTGATACTAAGCCATCCTTTCTTACTAAGCCATCATTTCTTACTAAGCCATCCTTTCTTACTAAGCCATCCTTTCTTTTACAGGTTTCATGCGCTGATATTCTCCTAAAGTTTCCCGTGACCACCTCTCCTGTCTGGAAACCCTGCTGTAGACTCATGGACACCATACAATGACTCATGGACACCATACAATGACTCGTGGACACCATACAATGATGCATGGACACCATACAATGACTCATGGACACCATACAATGACTCATGGACACCATACAATGACTCATGGACACCATACAATGATGCATGGACACCATACAATGACTCATGGACACCATACAATGACTCATGGACACCATACAATGACTCATGGACACCATACAATGATGCATGGACACCATACAATGACTCATGGACACCATACAATGACTCATGGACACCATACAATGACTCATGGACACCATACAATGACTCATGGACACCATACAATGACTCATGGACACCATACAATGACTCATGGACACCATACAATGACTCATGGACACCATACAATGACTTGTCAGCATGTACATGTACTGTGTAAGGTGAAATGAAGTTTTAAAACATGTACACTGCTCAAAGAGATCAGCACACGCACACGCACACGCACACGCACACGCACACACACACACACACACACACGCACACACGCACACGCACACGCACACGCACACACACACACACACGCACACACGCACACGCACACGCACACGCACACACACACACACACACACACACACACACCTGTGATCTGGCCAGTAGTGTCTGCAGTGGCAGTGAGAAACTGCCCAGCCAGTGCCGCTGGATTCTCTGATGAATGTTTGTGTCTCGCTTGCGCTCGTCTTGAAGCAGATCGACTAGCTCTTCATCAAACAAGTTGAAGTAGACGAGGTCGTCGAGACTTTGAAGTCCCTGTAGCGTCGTCATACGGCTCTCCTCACCCCTGTGTTTTTCATCACACACAATAACAAATCAGGCAGATCATGATGTTGATGTTCATACACTAAGCTATAGAAGACTTCCAGTAACGTTAGTAAAGCAGTTTGAGTGAATAGCAGGGTAAGTTAGTATGTTGATTGTGTACCGTTTTCAGTTTTAATTTTAATAACTACCCAGCCATGCAGATGTCATACACATAATAATTACTTCAAAGTATATGCGTGTGTTGCATCTTTCTAAGGAACACATCCACCGCATAATTATCATCACTACCTATGTGCATGATCTCATCGCATTCTACAGGTCATGCATGATCTCATCGCATTCTACAGGTCATGCATAACTAATCACATGAAACCCAGAGAAGTGACATACACGAGTTGAAACGTCATGGTGTCATTCCACTCCGGATCGGTGCCCTCGGCCACTTCGGTGCGCTGCTTCTCGCGCTGAAAGGAAACTTCTACGTATGGTCGCAGAGTGGCAGGGGCTTTCTTACGTCCACCTCGGACTGTATGCTGTAGCTCACTGGTTATGTCAAGAACACACAAGCAAACATACCCACACCGGCATAATTTGTCGAGGGTCAGGACTGGATATTGATGCAAGATATTCCACCCTGAGAAGAGCCAAGCAATTGACTGTCTCAGAAAATCGACTGACAATGATCTTCTCCCAGGCTGCTTCAAACCCCATAATGCCAGACACATAACCATCTCACAAATAATCAATGTCAAGCTAGTTTTAATAAACCAAGGAATTTGGTCGGTAGCTCCCCATACTGGAGCTCGGACCTTTCCTGCCAACAATGAATTGACACGTGTCTGTCTCACGACTACTGTTTCGTACTAATATACCAGCCCAGATCAGATTTAACGGCGGATAAAAATGCAACAGAACAACAAATGGATTTACGAGACCGAAATAGGAGGCACTGATTGACTTATAGCCATAATTATTATTTGACATGATATAACCGGCAGCATATGCGTAGCGTGGCCAGCTCAGTGCAGCATAGCAGATGTTAGCCTTACTTTGCAGAGCTGTTGGCACGCTGGGGCAACCGATTAGCGCGGAGTATCTCCACGCGCACACAGGCGCTACCACTCGTTGCCTGCAAACACATACACACACCAAGCACAATGTTAACAGGTGGGGGGGGGGGGCTCAGCTGTTTCATATAAGATGTCTCCATCATCACCTTGTGATCAATTGCCGGTATATAAATTCTTCAAATCTGGCCAAGGATCATCAGCCAGCACATTAGGTTCTCTTCATCCACATGCACAGTGAGTACAGTGATCACAGTGAACAGTCATCCAGTGATCACAGTGAACAGTCATCCAGTGATCACAGTGAACAGTCATCCAGTGATCACAGTGAACAGTCATCCACATGCACAGTGAGTACAGTGATCACAGTGAACAGTGAGTACAGTGATCACAGTGAACAGTCATCCACATGCACAGTGAGTACAGTCATCCAGTGATCACAGGAATCACAGTAGTGATCATACCATGACATCACAAGCAGACCCGGACTGTACTCCTGATCAACAGTTTCCACTAGCATTGTGTGTGTGTGTGTGTGTGTGTGTGTGTGTGTGTGTGTGTGTGTGTGTGTGTGTGTGTGTGTGTGTTCGTAAGCGCTCACCACAGACTGCACGGCCCTTTGAGCAATCCTTTCCTTGTTTTCCTCCACTGCACCGAACGGGTTCATCAGCGACAGGATGGACAGAATGAAGGAGCTGCAGTAAATAATCAAGAAAGGGAAGCATGCTTGGAACATTAGTGCCCAGACCACATTATAACATTATAACATAACATTATAACATTATAGCACTGGCTTTCATCATAACATTATCTAAGTGCTCGCAGATTCCACTGCAGCCATTTACACATTAGATTGGGACCATGTCCGACAGTTTGGTGAACAGTTCAAATGACATACATGTACATGTATGCAGCAAGGAGACCGTTTTTTCAAGGTTTGAGTTGAGGTACCCTAAGGCTTCCACTATGACCGAGAAACCCAAGTACAGGTTGAAAAATGACCACCACTGGATCTCTTTTGCCATTTGCATGTGGCTATACCATAAACTTACCCGACATCCGGTGTGGGATCTTCCTGGACGACATGTTCCCTACGCACTTGTCCCTGCATGGATTGGGTACGTTCATATACCCTCCTCTTGGCCTGAGCAATAACAGAGCCAATTCAGTGCCATGACATCACAAGTTGCACTGTCAACATGCCTTACACACACGAAGAAACATCGAGAAATTACATAGCTGTCTACAGCGCATAGGAAAACGTGAACATGAATGATTGAGGGTAGGCTTGACTGTAAATCAAGCAGGAGAAAGGGTTTATCACCTCCATCAGCAGTTGCTGTCCTCTCCGCCTCCTGGCTGAGATACTGTAAACTTCATCCACTGGCTGGTTTGGGGTCTCATCCTCCTCGGCAGCAGCCTAAATAGGTGAAACACCGGAACACGTAACATCTCTCAGCTAATACACATACCTTGGTAACAGAATACACGAGGCATACCTTTATGATCGCAACCTTTCAGCACACACTTACATGCATGTCGCCGTCTCGGCCACAGGTGGTGCTCCTAACAAATATATGCCAACAGAGGACAATGGCAATCCCAAGAAACCTTACAATGCCATTTGCTCAAGTGCTAATTTGGTTAAACTGGTTCCGGCACGCCAAGGTAAGTTAGAACCACTGACACACAACTATGTGCTAAACGAGGAGTAGGTGGGCAATAAGCAAGATCCAGGTGTCAGATTGAAGATGCAAATGTCAGATTGAGATGTTGTTCTTGTACACATCTTACATGTAGCTGCAGTGCAGTGACTTGGCCGGCACTGGTCGGAACGGTGATGGGCTTCTGTGAGCGCTGGGACTTCCTTGCCTCCTGAAAGTTCAAGTAACAGTATACAATGGTAGCCTCAGTGCATAACCATGTTTTCACTTGGGCAAGCTACACACACTACTAATGCTCTTCATTGCCGTTACGTGACAAACTTACGTCTTTCCCCAAAGCACACTTAAGCACTCTTAGAGCAAGACATAGTGATGACATATGCTCGTACGCAAATCACAATTTACTATTCTTATGCCGTCAAGTTCTTCTTTTCCATAGTACATGTACATGTACCTGGTCAGATCGGATCTTGATCAAGCGAAATCGCCGGTCTGAGTTTAGCTGCGTGTCCGTAGCAAAGTGCGTAGATCGTTCCAGAGCAGAGAGGCGGAATGAGTGCAGGGCATTCTTACCCTGTGCTGTGTATTCCTGATAGAACACAAACAACACACATGGATAGAACACAATAGACAAAGATAGAACCGTGACAACAGGCAGGGATAGCCACAGAAAGGGGGGGGGGGGGGGGTAGAACACAACAGACAGCGACTTCATGCTGTGGACAATGTCTAACTTCGATAAAGTACCGGTCCAGCAACCAGCTGCCTTCAGCAACCATTCCGCCCCTTTGATGTTGCACTCACCACCCTTCATGGATGGTCCCTGGAATACTGACTGACAGCAGCTCTAATACGCACTTCAATGTGACTTGCCCTAATCAGAAAGAGCTTCACATCCAGAAGCATGCGGAACCTGATCCTGAAAGACGGCGACAGCTAGCAAGAGAACGCAATCAAATACTGCAAGCTATCTGCGCCAAGACATTGCTGTCATTCAGCAGATCATTCTGCAAAAAAACCTGAGCTAATCTTCACCCATGCCAGTCTTGGCGGTTTGAATAACAGTTAGTGTACTTTGAAGGATGCATATCTCTCAACACAGTGCACCCAACTTCATATGCGCTTTTCTCAACACTGCGCAAAACTACATACCACCTTCCTTCAGGGTGTAGAGGGTCAATGGTATTTAATGTCAGGCACATCTATATGCTGGCCACTCACTTTCACTGACTGGAGAAGATCAAGGTTCCGTGGATCATTAGGATCCAGCCTTGCCTCGTCTAAAGAAGACAAACAAGCAAAATAATTAGGGCTGAAACGATTATACCGAATAATCGAGTACTCGTTTGATAACTCTAACGATCGAGCAATCGTTCAGATTACCGATTACGATTATTTGGGTTTTTTAAATTTGTGTCCAGAAAGTACTGTAAACCCTCGTTTTGTGAAGTTTGAATCAGTTTCTGCTGGGAGTATGCAGTTGCAAGGGGCATGGTTCATGTTCTGAGGTTAAATTGACTTCAAAACTGCCATGTTTCGGAGCTACCCTTTCACTAATGGAGATTTGTTGGTATTATGAAGGGATACAAGTAGTTTGTGGAAACAGAGTAATGTTTGCACAGAATTATGACTCTATTTGCTAACGATTGTAATCGATTACTCGATCGTTAAGCTAAAGAGTAATCGATACGTGAAAATCCACGATCGTTTCAGCCCTAAAAATAATCAAGCAAATAGTCGACATATGCAACTATTAATTTCCGTGCACTAATTATTGGGGGCACTTTAATCTACCTATCTCTGAAAATTCACATTCAGTGATAGGTCATACTTGTATAATATAAATGCCTTCCAGCAGGAGACCTTGGGATTACGTCTCTAAATATAGCATGCAGACATGCAGACATGCAGATAAAGAACTTCAAAGTACATGTATGCTACATGGGTGATGATATGTTTCGTGCAAAACACATCAAGTAGCATGTGTGGCCAAAGTTCTTTCTTGCCATAAACCCGTAGAAATGTCCCCCCCCCCCCTGCTCCACCATAGATACCAATAGTATGCATGGCAAAACCTAAGCAGCATGCCCAGTCTCACCGATCCAGCTTGCAAGTTTCTTTGCATCCACTATTCCCGCCATGCCAAGGGCGCCAATAGCGTCGCCATGGTGGTGTTTCTTGCTACAACGTGACATGGGAACGAAACAAGCAGCAGCAGCAAGACACAATCCGCACGGATTCTAAGCACCTGCCTTAATGTGGTGCACCGGGCATACATCGTAGTCGAGACCTCAGGTCGACTAAGTCACGGTGCTCAGCACCACCACCATGGCACTCCTCCATTCATCATAATTATTATCACAAGGTGTTTGGAGTAGGGAAGTTCGTAAAAAATACATATTCTGTATGAGAAACAGTGACTCGGAAACGTTATGCATACTTTCATGCACTCAAACTCGCTCCTAGACATTGCCATTCACCCTATGGCTACTTAGATGTCTAGATGTTGAAAATGGCTTTACCTCGCTGATGCTGAAAAAGACAACAGCACAGCGACTGATTACAAACATCATGTTCTTTCAAAGTGAAGCAGTATCATAAGGATGCACCAAGTTCTGAAGTGCATAATAAAATAATTATTATTTCAATTTGGGCTCACGAGGGCTATTTGGGGGCATCACAATCACTTGAGGACAGTGAAGAGGTTGTGTGCGCACCTTTCATTATCTTCCTCCTCGTCAAACTCCGGTGGAGCAGCCGTTCTTCCCGTGATAGGATCAACATTCCAGCCGCAGACAAGGTGGATATCAGCTGACGTCAGCAGCTCGCGCACTTCATATTGCATTTCCTCAGTGGACGTGTTGGCTTGCACGACAGGAACCGACACTGACCCTGGGACAAACACCCCGAACAGAATGACGTGGAAACTAGCACGACAAAAGCTTTCCCAAGTGAGGTATGCACCACAAGAATCAATGCCGGTGCAGTGTCATAGGAAGCGTGCGTTTAGAAGTCTGAAGAAAATGTTGAACGGTCCCTGCTGGGATGCTGGCTACACCACAGCTCAGTGCTTAGAGCGCAGCTGGCCTATAGTGAAGGTCTCTGGTTCGAGTTCTGGGAGTGCTAGTCAAATTTTTCTAAGACCTTTCCCCTTTTCAATACCCTGAACTGATGAATATAAGACTCCATGATCGTACCATTACCATCCAGCAAATGCTTGTAATGAGCTTGCCAGTATACACAACCTACCACTTCCCACTGCTGTTAGCATGGATGGTGATACCCGCCTCTCAGCACTAAACTCAATTCTCTGAGCTGTAGCAGTCTCAACCGAGACATGTCGGCTGGGAACGGGCAGAAACACTTCTGAGATTTGACGAGACTGCAAATAGCTGTCCTCTACAACCTGTAGCACAAACAGCAGAAACGAGAGTAAGGCACCTCACAGGGTGGTTTGAAACAGCCTGAGGTGCACAAGTTCAGACGTCCTTCAAACTCAGTTTGACTGCCTGATAAAATAACCTCCCCTGTGGGGTAGAATACAGAATAAAGTAGCTTTTAAACAAGTGTAGCCCAGCAGCTTGTTCTGGGAGCAGTAGTTCCCAGGTCAGATACTGCACAAGCGGCTGTACTCTAACAATTCAACCACACCCTTGGAATATTTCACAAATATATTGATCATGCAGCTGAATCTCAAAACAAAGAACAACCACCTGTTGCCTACCTGCAAAACCACACTCCCCGGCCATCGTCCAGGATAGGTGTTGATTGAATCATTGAAATGTATGACAAAGTCTTGTTCAACACATCTGGCACAGGCAGAATAGAATGCACGGATTGAATTTTTTTTAAACTACTCGAAGGAGTTGTGCTTGGACTTTGACAGAAGGGTTTAGAACCAGAACTCCATATGGGACGGTGCACAATGTTGTATGGCAATTGCATGTATCCTTCAGTGCAACATCTTACACCTCGCACTGAGATTAAAATCCAAGCCGCTTTGAATATGTCAAATGTGATCTCCAATGACCAGCCGATTGTTGCTTAACATCTTGTACAAATGTTTGCATCACTTACTTGCTCCTAGACTGTCCGGCTTCGCGCTCATCAATCATCACTCGTACGAAGTAGCTCTGTCTCTGAACTTCACGGCGCCTTGCTTGTTCATTTCTGCCCAAGAAATAAACACAACTTGCATGTTGCTTACGAACTATCACCAGGGATAATAAGGACATCCTGAGCTTAATTTTACCATCGTTCGAATGTTGCATTGAGTGTTTAACACCCTGTATATGGAAGTAATGTATATAATACAACCCAACAGTACACTTGTACGTGAAATATAAAACGACATACAAACCGAGCAAAGCCGAGGTTTGTATGATGGTTTATATTTCACGTACAAGCGTACTAGTGGGATGTATTATACTTATGCTGACCTTCATACAAACTGACAGTCAACTTCTTCCTGTTCCTATGGTGGCGGTATATGGGGTTTGTATGAGGTTTATATGCCCAGCATAAGCCGCCAGCATGATGGGCAAGTTGACTGGAAGTTTGTATGAAAGGTCAGCATAAGGATTAATACGAGGACAGACGATGGCCTCAGCTAAGTTTTACCTGGGACAGGAGGTGATTGCTGTCAGGGGTAGGTCAGTCTCCAGGTGAGGCGTGATGATTGGATTACCTGCAGATGAACACAAAACCACAAGACATTCGTGTGTTTTTATCCTTCAAACCTTTACAAGTTATACTGGCTTGAGCAAAGTCAGCAACGCTGAACAGGTAGTGGGGGGGGGGGGGGGGGGACTGGTGTTTATATGTAGATCTAAAGGGGATACCATGCAACGGTTATCATCTTCTGACAAGTAAGGCTGAAATACACACCTGGCCTCCTTCTGTTCTTCAAAGCATTCTCTGTAACAAGTGATCGGCATGCTTCTTCGTCAAAACCAGTCGGCTTCTTCGGCTTGGGTACGGCTATGCACAACAGAGAAACCAATTCCAACTGGCAACTGCAACTCCACGGCACTCTTCAGGATAGTTACCGATCAGGGCCAGTAAAAGCCACTGTGCAAGGGATTTAGTACATGACTGTACTCTTTACAACTTGCAGTCGACTCCTGATATAACGAACACCAGTGTGCAGGATAATTAGTTCTTTATGGCCGACGGTCTTTACAACAGAAATGCACTCACACCATGCAAGCAACACGTTACGATAGGCACGTGGCCAATGACTGCATGACTCTACTTGCTTTATATGTTACCCTACACGATATGGTTCATTATAAAACTTTTCGCTACAAAGGGTATGGATTCAAACAGGAACATAGACAATGGTTCTCTTTATCACGAGACTTGCTATGCGCGAGTTCGTTATGAGTGACATTCACGGCATAAACCAAAGATCAACTATTCTGCACAAATCCGTAGAAATAGCAGAATTCCTTTGAAATATTCCGGGGCCACAGCAACGCCTGAAGAGACATACTGCCCAAGAAATACTACTTTAAGTCCCATCGCAGTATCTTCTGTATGTGAATGAAGTACCTTGCTGGGTTATTGGGGCTGCCTGTCCCTGGTCGGTTGTAGAGTTCTCAATCTGTCATCATGAAACCAAACACAGAACAAAATGAGACGGTCACCGGGTGCAAATGTGATGGAATAAGGTGCGGCTTTCCAAGTTTTTGAGAATAGAGCATAAACTGAGCACAAATCAAACAAAATCAATGTTAACATCTCCTCGTAGCAAACGGTGTATAGGCACGAAGTATCCTTAGCCTTACCTACTCAGTCACAGAAAGTACACAGGCACAATGTATCCTCTGTCTAAGCCCTAGTATACATTCATACCTGTTGCTTGTAGGATCGATATAGAGCTTTATGTCGGCGGTATTCTGCCATCTGATCCTGGTGCAGCTTGTCAGCTTCAACCCTTCAAACAAGACAATGCCAGAAACAAACATCAACAAAGACTGCCATGCGGCAGCAGCAAGCTTCAACCCTTCATGCTGTCAGGCTATACATATCTCGCAACAGAATGAGCTACAAGCGATTGGCCTCAAAGATTGGTCAACTAACTAACAGTGTTACCTGAGCTCTTCCACTTCTTCATCAATCTCCTCCTGCCACTTCTGCTGATCCTGCTCCTTGTTGACGTTATCTCTAAAGATAAGAAGAAGAAACAGCGAAGGTTGCACGGCACAGCATGGTAACACAGCATGAAACAGTATTTTTTATTGTTTTCTCCTCTTCTCCGAGGGAAACATGGATGCAGTGAATGGGATTTCGGTCTTTGACCACTTTGTGGTGGGTCTGATCTACTCACCTCCCACCGCTTAGGAGCTGCATCTGCGCCTTGATCCAAGAGGGTGGTGGCGTTCCTGCGGATGCGGAAAACTGGGCCTTTGGCCGAGTCTCACGCGAACCGTGAAATTTTTTTTCTCCTTATTTTACGAAGGAATTCCCGACAGGCACCATCGCCTTTCTACAGGGAACCCTAAGAAAGTCTTGTTGGATGATTGAAATTCAGCAGGTGAATTAGACAGGCGGTAAGCAGGTGGTAGTACATGTTTACCCTCGTTAGAAGACAACTCCGGGGGGGGGGGGGGGGGTTCAAAATCGTTGTTCTATAACGAGTATTATCTACTATCCGGACTTGCACATACGTGTATTGTAACCGGTGTCGTGCTGGCGAGGGTAGACATGTAGTGTACTGGGCACCAAGGGGCCACATCTTCAGCTGTCCGTTACGGTCAGGAGTATGCAGCTAAACATTGGGGAAATGACCGGAGTTTTGCAGGCATGATCGATGTCAATCCTTTGCAACCTCTGAAGCAAGCAAAGGGCCCATGCTCTCACCAGCCACATTTGCTGACCACACAGTTCGACCACACTCGTTGGGCAAACATATACCCCGGGCGAGATTATGAACGAATAAAACTGTAGGTGCAAAACATACTGACTACAGTCCATTTCAAAACTATAGACGCGTACCTAGGCAAAAACCGTTATGCCAGCACATATACCACACAAAATCTGTGATCACTTTGTGCATAAAGTTTTCCAAATTGGGCGTCTGTTATCCAATCGTTTAGAAACTATATGAGAGTAATTGTGGAGCGGACCTGAGCAATATTCTGAAAACTATTCTCAAAAGGTTCCAGCCAAATTTGAAATATTTCAGAAACCCTACGCGTCTATTATAATAATGAAATGGACTGTAGATCATCAACTATCCACCGTGGGCAAATAGAGATCTCAGTAAAGTTTCTCTCCAGAGGTGGCAGTAACGTGTATGTGCCTAGCTTGCCACCAGGAAAACATATCAACTAACATCAAAGACAGAAGGTGGACACTGCATTCAGTAGAAACACAGAGGTATTCGCTAAGACCTTACTTCTTCAAGATCAGCTTGAGACCGGTGCTGGTATAGCCTTGGCTGTGACGCAGGGACTTCATCTGCATCCAACACCTACGTGTCCGTACATACAAGGAAAGAGACAGGATCCAGTCAGTTTGGGTCTTTCATGCTATGGTGAATTTCTGGCAGGGCATAAACGAAATCAACTGGCAGAACTAGCTCACCCAAACATGTTCTTGATCAACTGTTTCTCTGTGGCACTCTCCCCATCGCGAAGTTGACGGGTTCTCCTATAGCAGAAAACGAGAGATCAAAAATACCCCCACCGAGATGTTGATGTTTTCCGGCAACCTCTGTGGCAAGTTGCCATTGTAATTGATAATGACACGGACATTGCAACACTGTAGCCTCCACACAACTACTAAGAACTCGCACATACTACTTGTAAGTACATTCACACGGTAGGTCCTCAGCATTAATACCTTCAATCAACACAATATAAGCTAGATCCTCATCATCAATGTCTCCAGTTAAGTGCAAGGCATATCCTTGTCAATGTCTTCAGTAACATGAGCTGCCGATCTAGCCGCCCACTGACCTGATTTCCATTTGATAATCAGCAAGCTGTTTGGACGTTGCTAGAGCATCCAGTTCTGTACCTCCCTGCAAGCAAGCAAGCAAGAATACAAACTCTTACATGTCTGACCTATAATTAGTAGACCCAGTCCGATGCTGGGTAAAGGATTCTGAAAGACGTCATAATCCAGATAGACTGCAGTAGAATGCACGAGCAATGGAGATACAATAATGCAGATCATTAAAATTCAATTCATTGTGTCTCACCGTTGCCAGGGTAACGTGGAGTTGAGCAGCAGCAGTCTTCAGTGCTTTCAGCTGCATGTATTCATTCAAAACACAGAGACATGATCTTGAGTATCGTTTTTCAAAATACATGAAGAAGTGTTCTAACGCTGATGCACTTTCATCATCACCACAGTGGCGTGCCATAAAATACCAGTGTATATATTGTTCACTATAGTATCAATCAATGTGCTCCAAAGTACCACACGGATAAGGGGTGCAGGATGCACTTCGTACCCACTGTCAGTGCCATCTATCCCATATGGGCAAATGCTTGTCCTTTCAAACATGTAGCAGGTACCATCACCATGATATGCACGTTCTCCAACACCTTACACTGCGCATGCGCCGCGCTCAGCTTTACCTTGTCAGTGAGAAAGTTGATGCTGTTCTTGGCTTTCCGCAGCGTGTAGGCACTGAAGTACTGCAGTAGGCGTGATGCCAGTACGTGTTCAACGCTGAACAGTGGGTGATGGGAGAACCTCACAGAGTCTACATTCAGTGTCAAACACCACTGTCCTGGGAGGAAGAGGTGTGAAGAAAATACAACTAAAGTGTTAACACCATTAGGCAACCAATCACCCAAGTAGCATACAACGTCCTTGGAGTTAAGTTAATGTTGGAGAATAGGGGGGGGGGGGGCAATTTTGGATTCACAAGTTACCAGACTGACTTACTTGACTGTAGCTCGCTAAGCCGGGTGTCAGGATCAAGTTGGGCCTACACACAGCAATGGAAAACAATACACTACTTATTGCACTTGGCTCGTTTGTCAACAAGTCATGTTCTTCTGGCTGAAGTTGTTAACCTAAGAAATCCTATACACAAGACAATAGGTTGGTTTGCAATGCAGGAAACAGACAACCCTTCCATGACACATCCCTTCAATACAATTTCAAATTTGCTTTTTAATGGTCTCCCAGAGAGTGCAGGCAGAGATTTTACCAATATCTAGCAGAAGAACACAGCACCTCGTTTGTCTACAATGCCAAACTGGGGAGTCACAAGGTAAACAGAGTTTGGCTTCCTTGTGTGAGGTAGAAACAAAGTGCATGGCTACTTGTACACAGTATGGCAGGATCATGTCAAGCAGCGGCCAATTATGCCTTGAGTCCGTGCAACAGTACATTGGTTCATGAACTACAGTGAATGGCCGTACAGTTGTGGACCTACCGGGTGGAAATACATCCTGGGAGCATCACCGTCATTTCCCAACCACCAGTCCACTTGACGCTCTGGCCACTCTTTCACCGGGTTTGGCAAGCAAATCAGCCTGCCGTCCTTGCCAAACCAAACCAGAGACTGTCAAGGCAACAACAAGAACCAGGAAAGTAGTGTGAGATAATCCTGCTACAGCACTTACACAATTCAACGCAGTACTCATGCTGACATGCGTGTTATTAGATCGTCCACACCCATTGTACATGATGGCGGTCTTCTTTCAGACAGTCACAAATCACATAACTACGTTCATGAAATCTCTCGAAAGCCATTCCGAGTTCCCATGCCGCACTGGCACTCCACTCGGTATTAGCAACAAGCTTGTACCGCGGAATTGTCTAGTTTTTGGCCTACCTGGCTTCCTTGTTTCAGCAGTCGATTTTCAACTATGGCCTGGTTACTCAGTGACATGGGTGGATTGTGACCGGTGAAGAGACCCTCTTGGTCCGGATAGCGCGGTGCATGGTCGCTGGGTATCTTCTCAGTTTCTGGCACTGCAATGGGTACGAGAAAGTAGAGACACCCAAACAGTTCACACCCTTATATCACGAGGAGATGCATGCGCATGAATTTCAAAGGCGAAAGGCGCAGGTTCCAACCTTGACATCCATGTCACCTGCTGGCTGTGATATGTGATATTTGACATGTGATATGGGATTACAGTACTGTGCTACGGTGTCATGGCCTACAGTACTGCCGGGTGCCAAAGAACTGGGTGGGGGGGGGGGGGGGGGGGAGCCTCCTAGCCTAGGCCGTTCTAATTATTTTCATGTACATGTACTACAGTCTATGCTCAGTTGAGTTGAGTGACCGTGTATACATTGGTATTCTGTGCTTGGTGAAATCCTAGCCTGTTCTGTTCTTTGGCACCCGGCAGTACTGTACCTTCACTGCCATACGGTTCTACACCAGCCTCTATTGCCAAAAGTTACAGTACACTGGTCAACTATGATATACAGATCTAATAAGTATGACCTCTCCAGCTGTAGCTCAAGCAGAAGCAGCGTTCATAACTTGCAGATATCAGCATATTCCAAACCCGATATTTAGTCCAATGCTTCTAGCCCCACTGCTGTCACCCATGACGACCAATACATTTCAACAAGTAGTGACTCCTGACCTCAAACCTGCTGCATGTATGCTTAAGTTATTCTCAAGTGAATTGAATTGTACACCAAATTCAATGACTATTGATCATGCACTTGAGCCTCTTACCATAAACATCACTGGGTTGGAAGTAGAGTTTCTCTTCCAGTGCTAGCTGCTGTCTCAGGGAAGTGGCCATGGCAAATCCTTGCTCAACAAGGTCACTATCGTCGACTGACACGCTCCCGGTTGCGACCAATCCAGCTTCTCGTGGAGTACGCAGCTGGTCTCTACCCTGCAGTGTACAGGAGAAGGACAGCGTAGCCACACGGGGAGGAGGGGCGGGAGGGGGGGGGGGGGCATGATCGTCAGATATGCCACCGAGACGACAAACACGGAAGACATCAATTCATGCCCTGCCATTTTCTCACCAGCAAAGCGGATGTTTCTTGCTCTTGACGTGGCCTTCCAAGTCCATCCCGTTGCTCCGCGGTACTCAGTGGCTAGAAGAATTGAGCAGATGATAACAAAAATGCGGTAGAATGAGCTAAACACCATTGCAATGACGCAATGTTTAGAAGACTTGAATAGTCAGGCACTCAAGTTCAAGACTAGCAACTGGATTTCGGAGTACAGGATTGTACAGTGCATGAGCTCACAGGAGACTGAAGCTACTTTGTCGCATAAAGTGGTCTTATTCTTATCAATGAGCTCACCATCGCAATGTGAACCTCTCCTCCCTTTGCCCGATCTGCTGCGTCACTGGCATTCTCAGCATCCGGTGCTTTTCTGCGACCTGATAATATTGAAAATATAGGAAGGTACAATATTTCTTTGAAAGGGGTGAATAGAGGGAATCTACAACAGATTGTTATCTGTAACAATGCTAGCGAGAGTTAATCATCTCCAAGGATGAGCATGTGCATACGGACATAAATTATCGCTCTGCAACAAGGTATACAAGCATTGCATGCGTATGCATACAATTTTACTGTCACTGAACTGGATCTAGACCTCATTGGGTTACTGGAACTGTGTGGTGTGCACCTGTAGGCTGCGCTCCTGTGTACCAATGAGAGCATTGTGAGCCTTAGACCTGACTACATCGGAACAATACCAGGTCGTACCATAATGAGAGGGGGGGGGGGGGAATGGTGATAAAACAAGCAACATTGTACAATGTATTGTGGACGTACGTGGCCAACTAAGCTCGGAGTCCATAGGTGGGCCTGTAGGTCGCATAAAGAAGTCATAGCTTGCATCATGTTGGCCCTATAGTGCACTCAAACATATACATGCACACACACACGCACACACACACACACACACACACACACACACACACACACTCACACACACACACACACACACACACACACACACTCACACACACACACACACACACACACACACACACACACACTCACACACACACACACACACACACACACACACACACACACACACACACACACACACACACACTCACACACACATTCACACACACACACACATACACTCACACACACACACACACACACACACACACACACACACATTCACACACACACACACACACACACACACACACACACACACACACACACACACACACACACACACACACACACACACACACACACACACACACACACACACACACACACACACACACACACACACACACACACACACACACACACACACACACACATGCAAACACATGCACAAACAACGCATACGCATACACATACAAGTACAGGGTAAACTGGGAGTTTCAACAAGGCACCTCCGGGATAAGCAGGTCGCAATGTTTGAGCGCAGGTGACGGTTTTTGAAACTCAGAGGACCTCGTATTTAACATACATGTACTACCGTACTGGCAATATATGTTGCCGCGTAACGCGTAACGCAGGGGGGTGCGGCGTAACGCACGACCAGGCTAGTGCGACAAATTTTCCTTGCGTTCGTAACGCGCGTCCGGCGGGGTGCGGCGATCTTTTCATTGCAAAAAAGGCTGAAAACTGTGAAAGCACGTGTACCGCGTGGTGAAAAGTTCAAAACTGGACACAGCAGGAAGTCCTGCAATAGCAAAAAAAGGACTGCGGCAATATAGAAACCTGTGTAACGGCTGCTGTGCAACTTTGCATGTAACGCCCTGCGTGCGGCAAACATGTGCCAATGTAACGCTTCATGGCCTCACTGCGGCAACATATATTGCCAGTACGGTAGTATCATCCATGTATCTGAAAAGGTGCATTGTACGACGTGACTCAAGTACCACTGTTTATGGGACTCAAGTACCACTGTTTGGTGTGACTCTAGCTTGCAGGAGCAACGAAGGCAATGAAGTCAAAAAACAGAGCACTGTGTGAGCATGCAAGTAATAGTAACCTCAGGCTGTTTCTCTTCTTGACCGGCAAAGTTGACAGCCTTCTTCCAATTCTTCCTCGACTTTGGACTTTGCCCTGACCCGTCTCTCGCCTCGGCCTCCTAGGGAAGTAAAAAGCAGTGCACAATAAGACCCAAGCACCTATCGAAATATTGTAGACTGAAATATCAAACAAGACAACATAATATGTAGTGATAGATATTACAAAAGCTACTCAAAGCCTGTCTTCTTCCATCAAATTCAAGAGGCACAAATAGAAATTCTCGATAAAAATAGTATTGTGATGGAAGTAGGACCTGCCTACCTGTAATTGAGAAGGTGCGCTGGCCCTTTGCGTCTTCTGTTTAGTCTACAGGACAAGCACGGAGAAAGAAACATAGCATTTGTGTGAACAGAAAATGGTAAGGAGGAGCTGCTGTGTGCAGATAGTATCTACACACACATACCGAAAATGACTGCCATTACTTCACTCATTCACGTGTTCACAGTAATCATAGTCTCCTAGTCCACACTAGTGAAATAGTCCACACTAGTGAAATTCATGTCAGCAGCAGTGTCACAATAATGATACTCATGCCCTCAACAGTTCATAAAATTGAAAGTCACGCTGACCACAGTGGCTAAGACGCAAGAACACGCCAGCGCGGCTCAGCAGCCAATCAGTTGCTTTGCCTACCTTCATTTTGGCCGAGGACACCTGGGCTCGCAGTCGATCACGCAAATCGGAGCTCATTGTAGCCATGCTGTCATCCTCGCCACCTGTCCCTTGTTGATCTAGGCTGGCCTGGCGAGGCGCCCTCTTCACGGAGGCCATGCGTTCACGCAGGCTGGCAAACTCACTGCTCGGACTTCCCTGATGCTGGCCAAGGATTGGCGCTGGCAGGTCAGCACCTCTGCCACCCTCATCGAGTGGCTGCAAGTGTGACATCCGCAGCGGGCTGTTTACAACCGATAGCTGGGACAAAAACAATTCCAAACAAGACAATGCATGGAGCAAGACAAGAACAGATAAGCTATGCCTTCACTCTCTTACATCCTATTTACACGCTGTTACATTTGTATTCCCATGGTACAGGGCACACTAGGAGAATATAGGCCAGTGTGCTAGCAGGATATAGTCATCGTTGAATGCAGGTGATCTCAGAAGCTTGTTGAAATCTTGCACAGCTAGAACATTCAGTACAAACAGTGCCTGCTGATAGTGGTCATACAAACCGACTGATTTAAGAGACCACCTGGCTAAGGTTTCCCTACACTTGCAACGGAGGTCAGTACCACTGCCTGAAGCACTACGATCTAAACCATGAAAGAAACGTCACGGTATGTCACAAGCCTCCTACTATGGATGCCGCATTACCTCGTTTGCATCTCTTGTCAAAACCGGTAGGGTTGATCTTCGCAATGGCGTTCCATCACCGGATCTTCCCGTTGTCTCAAACAAGTCCACACCTGACCCATGCTCCTAGAGTCAATTACATACAACACAAATGTGTACATTGCGTAGACACAAGTCTGGTGACATGACAGCACAGTGTGTAGTCATGACAACTAAGTTTGGGAACATGGTGGTATGATGCCATCGTCTAGGATAAGTTAAAATGCCTATCCTCAATCACTCAATGTCATTTGTTCCTATAACGTTATAACGGCACTCCTTCGGGAAATGAAAATGTCACAATACTCCATTTGCCACCAAATTACTATTATTATTATTATTATTATTATTATTATTATTAATTCAACATCTCCTGGCTCGTCAGAAGACTGCCTATAGATATGAGAAGTCGGGTGGTAGCCAACCACGGCGAACTGAATAATAAGGAGAGAAACAAAGAGAGTACTGCAAGGGGAGGCAATACTAGTAGATCTTTTGAACGGACTTTCCACGAGACATGCGCAATTGAAATTATTAATTACACCATGGCCATACGGATGGCCACTGCATTAGATATCCGTGGCACTGTAACAGTTAACGCGAGCAAGGCATTACACAGATCACTAACACTGACCTGCAGAGTAGAGCCAGCACCACTGCCTGTTGGGAATTCCCCTGTGCCGCGGAGCTGAGCACATGATCATAAACATGCAAGGGTTCTCCGTCGGCAACCGTAACAAGTGAGCCCCGTGCACTCATATTTCTGGTATCCGGATCTCAAAGTTACAGGCACATTGGTCTGGTGGAAATAGTGACTTCATACGCCAGATCTCTGGCACCCCCCTATCAAACATGTATAAGTGGCTACGGATATTTCCCGGTCCCGGACTGCCCAGATAAGAGAGAGATATGAATGTATATTGCTATATGACATGAATGTCACACTCAGTAGAAGCACTGTGAGGAAGTGAGGGATCGACTTCAAATATGCGAAATTCGTCAACACAGTACAATAACCTCTTCCCTGGTAAGGTACTCACTACAAACAGCACATCTATAGGTTTCATTCCGAGGAAAGGTGTCATGTCGGGGGGGGGGGGGGGTGAGAAGAGACATTGATGATCCCACGCATGCTAAACTCTGATTTGGCACCAGCGCGGCTTCTTCTAAGTGTTTGCATATTGTAGCATAATACTCATGAGATAGAAGTCAATACATGAATTTTTAATTTAGAAGAATGGATGAAGACACCAGGTTCATCAGATATGCTGTGCATATGAGTGCGAACACACAAACAAGCACACGCACATGCAGATCTTCCCCCCCCCCCCCCACACACACACTGGCACACACACACACTGGCACACACACTGGCACACACACTGGCACACACACACTGGCACACACACTGGCACACACACACTGGCACACACACTGGCACACACACACTGGCACACACACACTGGCACACACACTGGCACACACACACACTGGCACACACACTGGCACACACACTGGCACACACACTGGCACATACACTGGCACACACACTGGCACACACACTGGCACACACACTGGCACACACACACACTAGCACACACACACTGGCACACACACACACACTGGCACACACACCCACTGGCACACACACTGGCACAAACAGCATGTTCACTGCCACACACAACACAATTGCCGGTTGAAGCGTATTTTCTCACCGTGCCAATAGCCTTCCTCCTGTCAGCCAACCTTTGGCGCAGTATCCTGCCAACATGTCCATAGCAAATGCACAGAAATCTAAGTTTCAAAGCTTATCTCTCTCACACCTTTGACCTTTTGATGCCCATCGCCAGAGGCGATGATAGCGATGCTATGGCAGAAGCCATAGTAACTTGTGCTGGGCTTGCACCATTCAACAGCTTGCAAGGCTGAAGAATTGACTGCCACTATTCAGCCTGGTCGACACCACACAGCTATGGAGTGGCTTTGTCTGGCCAGTGAATCCCTACTTTTTGATCTTTTTCATTTTTTGTTCCCCGCACACACATAACACCACATACTCCGGAATGTACTGGCTGTTACTAACCACTCAGGAGATTGTAGACACACACACACACGACACACACACACACACACACACACACACACACACACCATACACACACACCATACACACACACACACACACACACACACACACACACCATACACACACACACATACACACGCGCGTGTGCACACACACACACGCACACTTTCGCCCATCCTAGACTCTAATGCAATAGTATTGATTGTCAGAGGATGGACAGGACCATTTTTAAAGCAGGGAATTGTGAGGTGAATGGCGCGTCAATCGAAAAAAGTGAGACATCCATCCAAGGGACAACACCTCACAGACGTGAATAGGGATTCATTTCGAGCTGAGGCAGTATGAACTCAGTGCCGCTCAGCACAGCCCCAAGCATGGATGTTACCATCGTATGTAGCCATGTAGACCTAGCTGAGTTGGGCAATATGCTGAAAGAATTAGATGAACTGAGGTACAGAGTAACTAAGTCGTGCATATGTAAGGATGTGTGCAGCAGTCACCGACAGTATGTGTGGCGAGCAGTTGTCAATAGAATTATTTTGTATACATGTAGTGATGTACTTGTACAATAATAATATTATTACTTCAGAAGTATTATTATTCCCAATGTGAGAGTACAGAAGTAACGCGACTGGAAAGACGCGTAGTGTCACATGTAGAACATTGTGTGCTATTGTTTATTCCAATGCATACACACAGGACTGAGGAGGAAGCGCCCTTACGATACTGTGTCCTGCATGCTGGCATCTTCAGGGGACGCCATGCTCCCGCTATGGCGTATGTGCTCTCTCCAGAAAAGCAGAGTCGGATTGCCTCCACGAATCACTCCTAACCATGAAGCTGCAAGAATATCTTCTCCAGCGGGCACCTACGCGCGTAGCGTACTCTTCTTCATAACTACGGTATATCCCCTATTTCTTTGGGAACTGTAAGTAGAAACCGAGGCAAACTCAAATATTTTTCGAAAGCTCAAACCTACAGCATCCAAAACTAGTCTAGCCTGGGACTTGGGAGGAAATGTCAGCATGATTGATACCGTTGTTCATTCATTTTGCTCGATATCCTAGATCTTGTTCACGCGCTCGGCTTGTTGACATGCGACATCAAACTGGAGTTGAGTGCTTGTCGTAGCAACTTTGCTGTCATGGTGACAGTTTTACGCACAAAAAGTAAAGTAATGCCGTAAAGTAATTGGTGGTAACACGTTCGCGTTTCCACCACTGTTTACCATGGTTTACGCACAAAGCTGAGCTTTCACTTGTGCTGCAAAAAGCGAAATCTACGTTCGATCAAAGAGGAAGTCATGCACTGATTCAAACACAATGACCATGATGACCATGATAACTGTTCCAACTGCAGTAGCTGTGCCCTGCATGCTGCAGCAGCAGCAGCAGGGAAGTCACCTAGTGTGATGACTGTATGATGACCGATTGCAATGATTTCAAGAATATGCCTGTGCCGTGACTGCCACTGTGCCAGCCAGTGGGTCGGAGCCATGATGACTTTGGCATACAGGTGACAGAACAACTTCTAAATCAGACAAACGCGCACACATGTACCATGTGAACACACACACACACACACACACACACACACACACATACACACACACACACCTTCCTTCCTTCGCCCACTGCCACAATTGGCTATGTGTCCCCAAACGGGGCGACTTGAAGGAGTGCTGGTTTCGGGACGCGGCATGAGACACTGCGAGTCCGGCGGGATGTGAACGGCTGTTTCGCTGTTTGTTGTTTGCTTTTGCGGAGTGACGCGCACACACACACACACACACACACACACACACACACACACACACACACACACACACACACACACACACACACACATCAAGGTAATGTAGTCTACTAGACCAGAGTGAAACTGAGTGAGTTTGAAAATTGGATATCTTCATAACACACATCAGTGGTATAACATAAAACATTGTGGAATATAATAGGTTGGAAAGGTGCTAATAATGAGGGGAAAGATTTTGAAACTCCGCGCATGGGCAACAAACAGACACACACAAACGTGCGCGGGCACACACACACACACACACACACACACACATAAACACACCTATTTCTCTTATATCGGCTGCAGGGGCTCTCGTCCATTCACAGGAAGATACCGGTAGTTTCATATCGCGACCATTGGACATTTTGATAATTATAGATCATCTGCATTTTCTGATCGGTAGCCGTGGTGGGCATTCGTGCAAGCTAACCGTGACAATACCAGCTGCAAGGGCAGCAACAGCGGCACCGGCAGCAGCAGCAGTGGCCGTGTTCCACTAGCAAACAATCATAAAAGCAATGACAGCAACAGAATACTACTACTGAGCACAATCGATTGGGAGGAATAACAGAATAGATAGTGGGATTAAATATTAGAATAATCGGTAGGGGAGTGCTAAAGGGGACATTCTCTGATGAGGTGAATGAAACACACGGAAGATAAACTGTTGATAAACTCTGGATAGGGAGGCGGTGGACTGATAACTTTGGTTCTAGGCTCACTGAAAAGGTACTCGGAACCGACTAGAAAAAAATAAAAATGAAAACAGATAAAGCTTGCCTGTGCACTCAGGAGTTTGGACCGGTGCATGGCCTGAACTCATCTCACACTGGTCAGGAACATGCTGATGGATGTGGGCAACTGGAACTCCAGCTCACACAGCCAGGCAATCACGGCCAGGATGTGGAATGTCAGCTCCCCATCCCATAGCAGCGCCCACTGCTGGTACATCTTCATGCGCAGGCTGGACTTGAATATGAAACTCACCCAGATAGGCAACTCTTTCGTCCTGCAGTGCAACAACAATGACAACCCAAACACAAGATGGACAATCCACGGACAGGCACACACCCATGCAGATGAGCACACATCCATGCACACACAAACGCACGCGCACACATGCACGCACACACATGCACACACACACACATGCATCCAGGTACACGCACACGTGCGCGCGCGTGCACGCACACACACAAACACACACACACACACACAATGGAAAGCAGCAGCAGGAATGCTGGTGATCATATAATGGAAAGTGAACGCAGAGAGGTAGAAACACTCTTGTTTTCTTTTTCCAAACAACACCTGCCTGAACAAATCGAGATGACGCTGAGTTCGAAGATTTCAAGCACAATCAAGCACATTAAAGCAGTGACATCCATGCACAATCAAGCACATTAAAGCACATCCAAGCACATCATGCACTTTCATCCACACAGTAGTAGCATGCCATCACCTACCTAAGGCCATGGCAAACAAACTCGTAAAACTGCAGAAGAGAGCAAAAAAGACAACAAAACAAGCCGATGCATCGATATTCAGGGATATAGAAAAACAATGGCTGATAAGGAGCTACAAACGTGAACCCTCAGTACAAACGAGACCAGTACAAACAAGAGCCTATGCACTTCAGTGTGACATCACCTTGGGAGACAAACTTCAGTATTCAGACTATGGCTATACTCAATGCCCCATTGAAAATCGTGAAAAACACTACACAATCAAGTGCTAGTAGAATTCATCACAAAGTGATGGGAGGATTATAGTTCCAATTGTTAGATTCATTCTTCCAACTCGATCAGACATGGCCAACACACCCAAACAGCATTGAAGAAACACTGGTCTTCCGCCTAATACCAAAAATGCAAAGCTGAAGACAGCCAAGAGAATACTTCTAACATGGGTGCCAGGGCCCGGTTTTTTTTAACCAACCTTCACTGATTTCGACACAGTTGTCTTGCGATCCAGTGCTGCGAAAACGGAGGCCAATGTTGCAGGGACATCTGACTCATTGGCGCATAGTTTCTCTGTGCAAATTGATAACAAAACACACACACACACAGAATACGATATACCACTAATATAATGGCAACAAAAAGAATCGAGATAAAAATACTACAAAGCTAAAAGAACGAAACAGCATGCTGTCCGCAGATTGAGTACTACAAAGCTATGCGGCACACCATCCACGGATATATAGCTTAATAAAAGTAGTCTCATGCACATAAAGTAAACATAGCTCAAATGAAATGCTATAGGGGGGATGTAGACGGGCTTACCAATGAATTCCCAGGCAGGCCGCCTTGATCTCAACACCCGAGAGGGCTTCAAGCCGTGCGTGAATACCTGCAATATGGGAAGGCAAACACAATCATGTCAGTAGGTGATGGTTGACTGCAGGCAGAATATTGCACCTAGATAGGCATTTTCTGTATGGTCCCTGCCTAGACCATACAATGATCTAATCATGCAGTTTATACACACACGTAACTGGGTCACTCTGAACTGCTCTGAACTCGGAATGTAATTATCTTCAACCAGACTCAGCTGCAGCAAGAGAAGACTGCCTCCGAACATCCCAAAACCAACTTCACACGAGCATGCATCTCTAGTGCGCATGCTCGTGAGAAGTCATAATAATATGACTTGACTGAGGGACACAACATTTTCACAGTACAGTAGCACTGAGAGGAACTACACACATACACGAGCATCTCATCGGGCCACGGCACAGTAGCAGAGCAACGACGACTGACAAAGCCTCACCGAGACTGATTCTCAGTGCACAACAAGAAGAGCTGAAACTCGTAGCAAGATTGGCACTTTGAGGTGTACAACAAAGTGAGCACGGATGCCAGTGAAAGTGTGTACCACCATACTTGCCAACCCAGCCAAAGCAAATCCCTTAGTCACACACCCAGTTTCCCTTAATTTTCTCTCATTTCCCTTATTTTCCTGGTTTTCGCCAATTTCGGCCATTATCTCTTTTTTGGGGCATTTTTGATCATTTTTGCATATGTTTCGCAATTTTTTTCTTTCTTTTTATTCATTTCTAACCCATTGATCATTGGGGGACCAAAACCTGAGTTTCTTTATTGTCAGATCGCCCCTACATTTGTGATTCTGTGAAATGCAGGGCCGCATGTGCCCTTGTCACACCACAAAACAACCTTTTTTGGAACACTCATGGTTCAGTGCCGCCGGTAGTTTTTCGATCAAAGTCAAGAAAACCCGGCATGCCGGTAGTGACCGTAGCTTCCCGGTGTAATACCGGGAAAACCGGTATGGTTGGCAAGTATAATTATACCACATACCTCTTGCAGATGATGGCACAGGCCGTCCGGACCCCAAATAAGGCCTGTGAGCGTCTGAGACGGTGGCTGCAAGAGCAGAGAGGACATAGCCGGCACATCATTTAGCCTTATTCCTTCAGTACTATCTACCATCAGTACTTCAGTACCATCTACTCAGGAGGGCAATTATATCCATCATAGCATTTCTTTACACACCAGGTTCTACAGCTGTCCAAGAACTTGTACAAAACTGTGACCAGAGCAGTTGCAAGGATCCTACTCCCGCATATGCACAATAACAAAACGCTGCTGTACAAATGCAGAAAATAACTGTGCTGAAATGACTCAGCAAAGAGGATACTCCGTCATTGCTGGCGAGGTCAAAAGGCATTCGGCTAGTAAAAATACATACCAGCGCCTTGTCTAGGTACTTGGCGAAGTTGTTGACGCAAGACGCAACGTTTTCACGTAACCGAGCACCTGCGGGCAGTGAGATACATGTACAGCGAGGTACACCGGGAACATTAATGCAGACACATGCAAAGGCACATACACAGGCACACGTACAGAAGACAAACAAAAATGAGCCATATAGTACTGAATAATGCATTGATCGGTCTAATATTTTGTTTTCCTCCAAAAGTCGGAACTCAAATTCTTCTTTTGCCAGGTGTGCTGTGCAACCTGGACTAGTTTGCCTTGTCGATACATTCTTTGATATCTTGGACTGGGACTTGGCATTGCTCTTGCCGTTTTCTTCTGTTCGCTATTATGTGTGAAATCATAGGAATCATGACGTCACACGTTAACAACCCCATACTGCATACCCGCACTCACCTCCTGTGCTGTCTACCGATGTTGGTGGGGAACCTCCACTCACGCGCCGGGATGGAAGGCTTGCTGTAGCCGGACAACAGAGAGGGAAGAATGGAAGAGAATGTGTATGTACATGCATACCAAACTGCAGCAGAACTCTGCTTAGAGATGTGCCAACGAGAAACGGAAACTAGTGCTGTACTGAAGGCTGCTTCACCAATGCACCCAACACCAGTGCATTCAAATACATTCAGGATGCCGTTCCTCCGGGGATGATTTGAAGACGGACATTCCTACAGATTAGGTTCCAGAGATTCTGACTCGGTGCCACACACACACAATTTTAGCTGATTTCATAGCAAAGAATGCTTTAAAAAGCATTCTTTGCTATGAAATCAGCTATAACACCATACCTTCCAGCACTGTATTAGGTGAGACCTGTGTTGCCACAAGTAACAGCTCCTGATTGTTGTCCTCTGCTCTCACCCAGCTATCCACTACGAATCTAGACGTGTGAAGAACAAGCAACGTGCAGACACAAATTCCCACACAAATTCACATAAGAGCATTGCAGTGACCAGATGTGTCAGTGCCACCGTACCGTCTTATTTCACGTGGAGGAAAGTCACTATCTGTACTTCAAGACAAAGTACCCCTATAGGCTATAAAACACACGTTGCGCTCCGTGAGTCAAGCATTTTGTGGCCCATTTCTACAGAGATACATTTTTTTTTATTTGAGAGAAGAACTTAATGTTGCACATCCAAGAAGAGGACAACACCATCGCAAACTCCTTCATTTTGCGTTGAGTTCCCCCCGCGTGGTAGAATAATGACTGGCCACTCCACTGCATCTCTGATTAGAGTCAAAAGATGGCAGTGGCACTGTGATGTGCTAGTTGTTAGGTTAGGTTGGATGTGTTTCTGTTAAACATGCCTTCCCTCTCAAGAATTCCCTAACTTTCATTTCTCAAGATCTGCCAAATGCGACAACGGCATTACAAATACCATCTGCACCAACAATTATAAATGTATAATACACGGTAAGAAATGAATGACCGACGATGCGGTAGAGAACTCACTCATAACAGGCGTCTGTTACACTGCACACTACAAACATACGAGAGTAGCGCGATGTAATGCACAACCCTGCAGAGGAAACACACGGAGACGGGTAAGTCTCTTTAGGACACATGCCATGCTCACTTTTCGACCTATAGCCGATTAATACAGGTTACGGAAGATATAAAGTCATGAACCACATTCCGCTATCCACTGGATACACGCACACCAAGAATGAACGGTGCCTCAAAGTAAAACCAAAGCAAAAAAAAGGGAAGGTGTTAATAAAAGTCATCCAGAAAACGTACAAGTCCTGACAGAGCCTGTCGCACTGGAAGCTCTTCCAAAATGTCTATGCCTACATACCCCTCCACACTTCACAAATGTCTGAATGGTCGCCATGACCACAGAAGCCAGCATGGCTTACCTGGACAGCGAAGAATCATGCTTTCCAGTATGCCCAAGTTGGTGATCTAGTCGCACGCATGCCATAGAAAGGAAAATGCAGACGAACAGAATACAAAATAGTGGTTGCGACTTCGGCGATGATTTTTTACAGTGTGGGAGCAAACCCATTCCTAGAACAGAATACAGTGTACAATATCAAATACAGCATACAGTATACAGCAAACAGTGTACACTGTATGCTGTAAACTGTATACCAGTGTACACTGGTATACAGTTTACAGCATACAGTGCACAGAATATGGAAGGTCAAATTGATCAGAGTCACTCATACAAAGCATCTACTGCACTGGTGACAGCAAAAACCAACATTATGACTATAAAGCCCCTTATAGAAACAACTGCAATCCATACCTCAACAGAGACACTGCCCGATTGCTCCGGTAACTGGATGACCTCCGAGATGCCATGGCTACCAAACAGCTGACAGGTACCACTGGTCGTTTGTTGCCGAATACCAGCAGCGCAGGGAAGCAATACCAGTGAATAGCGAAAGACTGCAACATGCATCACACATTGAACATGCATCACACATTGAACATGCATCACACATTGAACATGCATCACACATTGAACATGCATCACACATTGAACATGCTTCACACATTGAACATGCATCACACATTGAACATGCATCGCACATTGAACATGCATCACACATTGAACATGCATCACACATTGAACATGCATCCTCAGACATACAGACCAGCTTGACTCAATAATGATACTGACTGAAGTAGAAAGAAACACAACTCATCCACAGCCTACAGCCAAAGAACAGCTTGTTACGACAGAAACTGATCCTCCAAATCCTCAAGAACTGGGAAGTGACTACTTTTGGCAAGGACAGGAAAAGAGAATGAAGGAGATCACAGAAGTATTAGATGAACTTAACTATATACATGGAATACACTAGTAATCTAGGTCAATTTGGAACCGTTATCAACGCTGCACTTCCGCTCTATACTCACTAAACATTATGCTTACCAGTTTGAGAGTAGCGAGTTGAGAAACAAAACACGTCCACTGTCGTCAGTGAAAGCAGATGAATGAGAAACTGCTCCAGCTCGTCTTCGCACCGCAAGAATGCATATTCTCGATAGGAACTCCTACAGCACACAGTGTTTGCAACACAGATCATAGCATTGCAACCTATCCCGAATAGGTCACAGTTGCGCATCCATACATGTAGATACAGCATCTCCGCTTACCACACTGGTCTCTCTCTCTCTCTCTCTCTCTCTCTCTCTCTTTTTACACACAAGCACAAGTGGGTATGCATACTATTATTTCACCAAAAGAACAACAACAGGTACTGTACTTGCAACTGGAAGCAAATCAGAACAGCCATGGCCATCTCCCACCCTGAACCACTCACTGTAGCATCATCCTGTCCTGAACCAGCTCTGCGATGTGACTTGACAGCACTTTCTTCTCCAGTGATAAGCTGGTGTGCACAGACGTACAACAAACACATCCAATCAAAGGAATACCACAGTATGGTGCATACTATTGGCAAAGCAAGCTGCATTGTATGACATTCACAGCAGAAACGGTCTCCCCCGCATGGCTGCATAACGTAGAACACTCAGGCTAGCTAGAATCAGTGCTTTGCCTAGATGCACACCACTACAATATGCCCGTGACTAGGATGTAGCAGGATTGGAGCAACACTGTCAGGATGTGTTGCTGTACTGCATTATGTATCAGTGCTCCTGTTACTTCTGGTATCTGAAATTGAACAAGTGTCAAGCTCACAATCACTTCAAATAACTTTGTTTCACAAAGTTTCATGCAACATCTAACATCAGTGGGGAAGATCAGACGGTGATTACAGGATAACTAACCGAACGAAGGCACGGGCAAAGCCAATGTCAGTTTTGATCGCAGCCATCTCCTTGACACTCCTATGCACAAACGACAAGGTACATGAGAAACGTGCACAATTCTCAGTGAACCGTAACTCATATATCTACATGTAACGCATTTTCCAAAGTATACAGTAAGCCGCACTGGAGTATAAGCCGCACCAACCCCCCCCCCCCCCCCCCCCACACACACACACACATTTTTCTCCACAAAATACAGATATCCACCCTATTTATTGCCGTTAATTTTATCATCGGAGTATAAGCCGCAACCCTCCTCCCGCCTTTTGGGTGAATTTTGAGTGTTCAAAGTGCGGCTTATACTCCGGAAAATACGGTATTGCCCGGGTGCCCATACTCGTGTTCTGCAGTGCATGTCCAGGGATGATAATTCAATTTCCATGAGCATGGTCATTATACAAACACAGAACATGTTTCCCACTTGATCCCACGTTTCTATCCTCTGCAAGAGTCTATAGATCTGTTTGAAACTGATCAATATCTCATCATGGTGAGTCATAGATAGTTGATGCAATGGATTGCGGCAACACTCTTAAATCATCACTCCTTGTGCCGCTTCAAGCTTTCTCCCTTTGTTTCCTTTCTTTCTTTCTATAGCAAAGAAAAAGGACCTGGGAACTATAAGTTACGCTATAATGTCCACTAACATCACCAGTTGCTTGACAATCAGCTCAATTAATCGTTGACTTTCCATCCGAGTCTATTCTTTCTTTCTGGGGTTTTTTTCCTCTGCCCCCCCCCCCCCTCCCATTTGATTTGCTATGTCACAGGTGACTCTCATCCTTTATCTCTACTCAACGTTAGCAATCATTTGATGTTCCAGGATATGTTCAATATTTGTAAAGCACTAATCTGCATCTGAGATGATCGATCTCTTCAAAATTACCTTATATCATCAAGCAGGCCCACTGCCGGTTGCGTTGGAGCACTGCTGCAGTACCGAGCACGTAACAAACGGACGTGAGCACCCACGTGCTGGTCCATGATGGGTAGCTCGTGGAGTCGGCCTAGCGAGCGCCGCTCTCGTCTCAGATTGTTGGCAAACAGCTTGACGTTGGAGGCTAGGTCGCTGATGCTTGGCGAGCTGATGGACCGGGACATGGATGATGACGACGAAGACGAAACGGACTTATCTGACGACATGCCTGTGGAGCACAACCACCAACACACCATACAGCCATCTGCCCCTATACATTAACACTAGCCTCCATCAGACACTAACGATCGGGGATGAAACAAAACAATATATTACTACAGTATGCAAGCAGAAAAGTAAGATGATGATAAGGCATGAAAGTATACCGGGTGAAAACTTTCAAGACGTTCAAAGCCTGAAGTGTGTCCTTCTTCTCAGTATCAAAGCAAAGTAAGCAGTACTCACTGGCAAATAGAATAATCCAGTGAAGAAATGATCTGGTGAAGAAATGAAAAGGACTCTAAAATCCGAAGATCGCTTCATTCCATTCAACACTATGCTTGAGCACATGTGCACACAAATTAAGGAGTCCATGCACCGTAGACAAATTGAGCACTGAGAATATGCCATACTTGGACTGTGGTGGGGTGACGACCCATCATTGCTCAACAGTGAGTTGGACTCGGCTGCCACGCCATCTATGCACACACACACACACAAAGTTCAAGTCACAGACATTCACTATGCAAGGAAGATGAGGCACACGAGCCTTGCAGAAAATATCCATGCAAGGACAAGAACAAACATAGCGCATAACAGTGCGCAATGTCAGTTAACCCTCACATGCGTCAAGTCCCGTACAGACACAGCCTGTACTAACTCTGTGCCTCATGATGTCAAGTGAAGCGTCTCCTGTCACGCATTCACACGCTCAGCACATGCTTGTGCAGTGCATTGCTTCAAAAAAATGGTACACATATTGCACTGCACATATCGCACTACACATTGCACTGCCAGCAAGGACAAGTTCCTGATTATAAATCAAATCTCGGAGGCAAACCATCCCGGGTTTTCAGGAATATTTCCCCATGCATGCAACACTTATAACCGACCTGTATACAGTCAGACCCCGCTTAACCGCACACATCCGTTTTCCACAAAAATGTCCGGATAGACGAGGGAACCGGATAATCGAACACTGATCATGTTGGATGCATCACGCATGTTGTATATCTGTAACCAGCTATTTTCTTCCGGATGGCAAGGGATCCGGATAAAAGAGGACCGGATAAGCGAGGTCTGACTGTACTTATAACTTATAATCTACTTATAACAAGCAACATAAAGTACATCAGCGCATTATTGCATGCGACTGACCATTCACTGAGGCTCTGTGTTTGCTGCCAGGAAACAACTCGTCATCTGCCGGCATACACGCTTCTTCCAACAGGTCTGAAGCACGAGCACAGGCCAACAGGCATGATCGGCCAATGATCACATATCAAGAACAACAGTAATAACGAGCGGAACAAGCAAGGATGTGCCTCCTGCATGTACACATTCACGTGTGCTTCATAATCCCCAAGTACAAAACCACCAGTGTGTTCCACAGTGAGTTTTTTTTGGGGGGGGGGGGGGGTGTGTGCACACCGAACAAAGTCCACATACATGTAATCATACATGCATCCTTACTTATTTGTTGACAAGCCAATCTGCCATGAAAACATGCCAGCAGAGTCTAGGATTCTATATTTGATCACAAATGAGTGTTTGCACAATAATGCTGCTAGGTTACCCGTTGTCTTTTTTCTTACAAGCGTTTTTGTTTGGGGCTCATGTCCCGGATGTTGCCCACTCATGTGCCTGATTTCTGATATAGAGCTCGTGGCATATTCATGCTCTTATCAATTCATACCAGTTTTCCACACCAGCCTCCATCTAGCCCAACTCAAACTCTTGTGGTCAGTTGTGCTTGCGTACATGTATGTGCGTGAGGAAAGATGTTAACCTTTATCCTCCCGTTGTCCCATAACATATACTAGTAAAAGACAGTGTGTTGACATCACCACATTGCAGGGCTCACCTCTTCGTTCCTCGTAGTATGTTTCAAGATGTGTCCACATGACCGATTTCCCCTGGGTGGATGATGCATGCTGGAATGAAGGAGCAAACAAGAAACGACTTGCTAAGGGTGTTGGTCAACGGCATGCTGCACCCCAGTCATACACACCACACCTGCATCGTGCATTACCTCCAGATTACCTTGCTAAATTGAGATCAAATATAACGAGCGTGTTGGTCAAGGGCCTCAGGCATGAAAACCAACAGTTCCATTCACCCACGTGTATTACCCTCAGATTATCCTAGTCTCAACTAGACCATACCCAACCAGTCATGCATGTTCAATTACCTTTCCTTGCACACTGCCATGCATCCATACTCTTTCCAGCAATTCACACAGGCTGGTGATCAGGCTGTTGTCTTCCAGCAAACCACCGGCGTGATCAGCATGGCCCAGCATCATTGCATCGCGGCCCATCTTGCTAACCAGCAGTCGCTTCACCTGCACCGCCAACCAAAAACACGTAAGTGAACCAAACGAAGAGCATGATGAGCTGCTTAGAAGCTTCAACTGCAATACCGGTACATGCACACTAAGTGACTTGTTAACGCACTGGGCCAAATACAATCAGTCTTTGCACTTACAGAACCTATTAGTCATTCATCAGGAAGAGCAAAACAAGAATTCGAGGGGCGGGTGAAAACTAAAAGCCTCCTCACGTGCTAAATGTAGCTACTGGTGGAGAAACATGTTCTCGGATGGAGAAGAGATGGGATGCATCTAAAAAAATTTTTTTTAAGTATATGTAAGACAAAATTTCCATCAGACAATGCTAGTGGATGAGCTAGTAGGTGGCTAGTAGGTGGCTGGTCAATAGTTCAAGAGACTTCTAAAGACAAGGTATGGCCATGAATGTGGCCCAGAACAGGAATGCCGCATACCAGTATGCATGAATGTCACAGTGGCCCAGAGCAGGAATGCCGCATACCGGTATGCGAGCTTCGATGAACTGTCCCTGTCCCCAGGGTAACTGTGACAAGCAGCACGGAAGCAACTCGAAGCCCACATCATTAGCCCGTGCCAACTGTCCATGCAGCCTCCCTAGATAGTAGATTCTATAACTCACAGGTCGTCACCAAGTAAACGGATGTACCGTAGGAAGCGGAGAACATGCAAAAGCACCCCTGTAGGCATTACAACTAAGACCTCCTCACCTTAACCCGGCAATCACGTAACAACTGCCGCACGAATGTTGCTTGGGAGGTGGCAGTGCTTGGCAGTGAGTTCGTGGAGATGGTCTGACAGCGCCAACAGAGAAAATAGAACACTGAAAAGTCACACTCTGTGTCCGATAATGAGAAATGCATACACTCGCCACTCATAACACAACGTAGAATGTGAGTGAAATACACTCTCTGGTTTCCTTCTTTCAGTGGGCCTACCTTGCACTATTTTCATAACCTACTGGCTTAATGAAGAATAGGGGATAGTTTCGGCGAGTATCAAATGTTCTCACCGGTAGTAGGCCAAGGAGAAGATTGCCAGTGTCTGGAGTACGGGCTCCACTGCCATTGGATGGGCCAGTCCCAGGCTCTGGAGTGACGGAGGCTTGCAATCGCAGCTGACCGATACCCGACGACGTTGGGCTGCTACCGTCTCCGTTCACATTCGGTACACCAAGGCTGTTATTGTGACCACTCTGAAAGGCAAATATTAGCAGGACAGCGTTGCATGCTTAGTAGGACACATATTGCGCTACACAATGGAGGCAGTTCAAATAGACAACTGTCACACTGTGCACCTGTGAGCAGAACATTTATTCCATAGAGTACTTCGAAGTAATCCAAACGGTGATTGATGACCAGCTCAGAAGGTGGGGTGTCAGGTTGTAGAGATATCTACCCAGCTGACTGCCAATCCTACAGATAACGCTTCTAAGGTACGCTATACCTGCTTCTAGCCATGATGGGTGTGTGGGTGTAGGGGTAGGGAGAGAACCGAAGGTGAAGAGGGTGTGTGGGTGTAGGAGTAGGGAGAGAATCGAACGTGAAGAGGGTGTGTGGGTGTAGGGGTAGGGAGAGAACCGAAGGTGAAGAGGGTGTGTGGGTGTAGGGGTAGGGAGAGAATCGAAGGCGAAGAGGGTGTGTGGGTGTAGGGGTAGGGAGAGAATCGAAGGTGAAGAGGGTGTGTGGGTGTAGGGGTAGGGAGAGAATCGAAGGTGAAGAAAACCAATGAACAAAACATGCACACCAGCATGGGTAACCACCAAAAGCCGGCCTGGCTAGCACCCTTTCCGAGCTTGATCTAGTATTCTCACCGAAGGCATGTCAAGCGTCTTGCCATCTGCATGAAAAACACAACGACAACAACAACAAGAAAAACAAGAGCAGCAGCAGCAGTAGCACCAACAAAAAAATACAAAATTAAAATATCCACCAGGGCCAACTGTATGTGAAGCTTCACTAGCAGCACACTATTCACTATAAGAACGTGTCACAACGTGTCACAACGTGTTACGAGCTCTTTGCCAGAGTGTACAATAGAGAGTTGATTGCAAGAGCCTCAGCATACGTATGATCACATCTCTGAACATATAGATGATGACGCACGCACGCGCACCCACACGCACCCGCCCGCGCGCCTGCGCGCCCGCCCGCCCGCGAGCGCACACACACACACACACACACACACACACACATACACACACATTTAGGCATAATTACCAGACGCTACTAAAGTAACGTCTTCTGCCTAGCTTCGGAAATTGAAAGTACCTTCCACTGGTGATGTAAGCTCAGAGCTGTGACGGCTCATTGACCTCTCATCTCCTGACAACCTGACATGAGCAAGAGCGAGCATACAACATTGATAAGCACAAAAGTTATCACAAACCAGCAAGCTGATACTGATCTACTGAAAGAGTCAGACCAGGCTGTCAAGCCTAATTGGCCGTGAAAATGTAGTGGAAAATAAAGTGATCCGCAATGAAGAGACTGTCCTCATCGAGTTGGCGAAGTGAAGAATTATACATGGATAAGAAGGTTGACAAAATACGACCATCTCAGATATCATCTCTGGTCCGCCACTATTCTTCGTCAATATGTAGAGAGAAAGAAAGGAATACCAGCATGGATTGGAAGAATACACATAATACACATGATACACAAGTCATGATACACATAATACCAGTAATTATGTCATAATAGTCTGCACTCACAAATCATTACTGGAGCTTTGCGGCCTTTCCGGCTGCGCTTGCTGTTGAAAGACCTCAAACCTAAAAGCGTGAGATTTGCCTGAATAGGCACATACCGCAGTGGGCAGCAAATCAAATACACACGCACACACCCATACAGTGAGTTATGCACATAGAAATCATAGAGAGTGTTCAACAACCCTAGGCCTAACGGTAGGCGCAAAACAAGGCCATATGTATTCCACATGATCTTTCCAAACGGCTGCCCCGAGTCCCTGCCACATTTAGCTCGATGTAACTAAGTTACAATGCTGTTACAAGATATAGAGCTGTGTGGATATAGAGCACTCAGTCCATGCAGTATACATGTGGTGCATAGATGCAAAGCACATGCTGTCTAACCGGAGCATGCATAATACACAATTATCCAGTATAACGTAATACACAGAACAGAACAACAAGGACAATCGAGGCTTGTTTACTGCGACTTGAAGTTCCATGCTCTCGCAATTATCAGGCTGGAGATTGCGAGAGCATGAAACTTCAAGTCGCGGCAAACAAGCCTTGATTGTCCTTGTTGTTCTGTTCTGTATTACGCTCTGCCTCCGCCATGGTGTTGAGCACTGTCAGCACACTGGGTACACCCTCCGGGTAACGTACTACACATGTAGAACACATGCAGTCCACCCAGCACATGCGATGCACGTCCAGTATAACGTAGTATGCATGTAGAACACATGCAGTGCATGCAGAACATGCAATGGACGCACAGTGCATATGCAATGCACATGCAAAATGCACAAGAGGATGTACATGCAGAATACATGCAGAATACATGCAGAATACATGCAGAATACATGCAGAATACATGCAGTGCATATGCAGGCAGTATGCATAACATGTGTAGTATGCACACTGTACCTCTCCTTCTGGATTTCTCTCCAGATGGCACTTGTTGCACTGCACGGGCCAGATCCCAGGTGGAAGAGCCAGCCATATGCAAACAACGTAACATCAGTACAACACAAACAACGACAGGAGATTTACCGTATTTTCCGGAGTACATGCCGCACTTACTGTGACACAATTGTAATTTTCCCCCTCCCCCTCCCCTCCCAAAAAAGAATTCAGTCGAACGTACACGATGGTCAAATGAACGGTGATGTACAGGGTAGATCATCTATATGTCGTTTGCAAAGCCGGTGCCTCCCTCTTGGATGCACATGTTTCTTTTCTCCTATGTATCGGCGCACAGGATTAACGATGATTCCGAGACCTTTGGTCGGAGGAGTTACTTTTGCCCCGCCGCCACTTCCATCCAATATGCCACCGCCCCCGCTGTGCAGCATCTGATGGTTCTGTGGTATTCAGTAAAAAAAAATAATAATAAAATGTGCGGTTGATACTCCAGTGCGGCTTATACTGCGGAAAACACGGTACGCACATTTCTAAACAAATGGCCAAAATGGAATTCGCCACTAGCCATGTTCATCGTCTAACAAACAACCAAGCTATAAACACACTTGACCACTAGTGCAAGATATGGCTAGTTTAGATTTCTGCTAACCACCAAAGGATGCACTGCGCTACAATGACTCAATGTTAGGGCTGGAAGTTGGCACTGAGATCCCGAGTTCGAGTACTCTGATTTTCTCCGATCGAATATTCGAGTATTCGAGTATTCTTCATCTCCTAAAAATTGCACACCAAGGGGCTTAAAATCACATAATACAACCCTGATCGAATCGAGTAGCAGTCATTTTTCTCGGGTATATTGGTTGGTGGGTCATTTGGGCTCTCTCTACTCGTGAACAAATGTTCACCACACAGTCTGCACATCAATATCTGCTGATTTCTGCTCTGAAACTGCAGATTTCTGTGGTGAATGCATATACCATGTATGAACGAGTACTCTGATTTATTCCGAGTACGATTATTTTTGAAAAAACCGAGCGAGTACTCGAGTATTCGGTATAATTGTTTCAGCCCTCCTCAATGTTATGCGTTACATATGCATCTCATGGGGAAATGATGCTGTGCGTCTTAACCGCTTGCAATGCAAACCAATATGCAATGAATCCCACGGCAGTAACATTTTCGGATATTTTCCAGATATCTAGGGCCACGGATAATTACACGAACTTATCATTGTGGATGACTATGGGCGAAGGCAAGACATGGAACATTAGTGCATAGAACATTCTTGATAAGAAAACAGAAAATAAAAGGAGCAGATGATGCCTCTCTTCAGGGGAAGTTCACCCTAAAATCAAAATTTCACAGTTTGTAGATTTCGAGGCGCTAAGTTCGGTGGTGAAGGTTCCATCGCCGTGCGATACGCCGTTCTGGAGATATTTTGTATTTGAAATTTACCATGACGTCATGCGGCCGGCGCCCCCCCCCCCCCCCCCCCCCTCCACACCCTGTGACGTCAAAGAGATACAGGCTCCCAGTCTGCTTGCTTGTCAGTGAGCGAGAAAGAGTGGCGCATGTGGAGTTTCTTTCTTGCGACATGAACAGTTTCAGCCAGGATGCCGGTTTGCTGTGCTGTCGGCTGCTCTAACCAGTCTGGCAACCCCCCTGGGACCACGGTGCATCGTATTCCCCGGGATAAAGCTCTCCAAGCGGAATGGGTTGCAGTGATTCACCGCGAGAATTTGCCACCTAAGTTTGAGGAGAGTTCTGTAATTTGTTCGGCACATTTCGAGGAGGATACCTTCCAGAGGAACTTGCAGGGAGAGCTTTTGGGTGAAACAAGCCGCCGAAAGCTGAAAGCAGACGCTGTGCCCTCGATTTTCCCGGACAGGCCGCCCCCAGCGAAGCGAAGGATATCGCAGTATCAGGAGAGGAAGGAGAGAGAAGAGGTGAGTGAATGGTTCTGGTGATTTCGTGCTTTGAGAGCGTGTTTTAAAATGGCATGACATCTGCTGATGCGTGCACACAGACCCCGGTCGTACTGATGGTGGACTCAAACACACAAACGCCTTGGTCGTCTTTACTCGACACTTTAACGGCTGAGTCCGGAACGCAAACTGTCAGTAGCTGCATGTCCACGGCAGAATGCGGCACACAAGCCTCCATTGAGCACCAAGAGAAATCGACACAAACACCACGACGGGGAAGGCCCCTGTTTGGAACACATATGGTGCAGTCCCACCTGTTGACACCAACCAAGCCTGCTGTGTCGTTCACCTGTTCGAGTGCGGAGTCAGCTGTGAGCGTTGACCCTATGTCAGAGTCGGAGGCTGAATACTGCCAAAGTTCGTGCAGTGAGGCATCAGAACAGCTCTAGAGGCCGCAGCGGGAGAAAGACAGCATTCACATGGTGCACGAGTCCTTGCTGGAGGAGTTGCTAAGGCACTCTCCAACATGTGGAGCTGTTGTCATAGACCGAAAAGATCAGCTAATTGGTGGCATGCTGGTTGTGAAATTAGCATGTGCGAGAGGTTGTGACGTTACATGGAGATCACATCGAACAACGGCCAACAGCAACCAGTCACTCTGTAAGTACCTCTCTCTCTCCCCCCCCCCCCCCTCTCTCCTCTCTCTCTCTCTCTTTCTCTCTCTCTCTCTCTCTCTCTCTCTCTCTCTCTCTCTCTCTCTCTCTCTCTCTCTCTCTCTCTCTCTCTCTCTCTCTCTCTCTCTCTCTCTTGTGGCGTTCCTGTTACTTTGAAGGTGGGGGAATGCATTATCCTTTACCTGCATGTACATGGCTTGTAGAACTCAAGCAATGGATAATTTTACCAAATCCTTGCCTGCATGTTCTTGTGAATCTTCTCTCCCCTGTTCTACTGCTGCAAGCGCCATCAACCACCTTCAACGTTTTCTCTCGCATTGCCGAGTTTCTCAATCTTTCTTTCATCCACAAAACAACTATGTACTCCATCCAAGAACAGTTTGTACTTCCAATCATCCAGGCAGCCTGGTTTGCTGAAAGGATACGCGTCAAGAATTTCTTTGCATGTATGCAATATCAAGCACAGTGGAAGATGGTGTGCTGCATCATGAATATCCACCAATGCCCGGAGCCAATATAGTAACGGTCGAGTGCATTATCGACAAATCCGTACACACGCGATTTGTGTAGATGCAGCAGACAGATGGAGCAAGGTGAAGGTTGTACAAGGTGCAATATGTAGCCGCAGAATGGAGACAGTGCAATGGCAGTGTGCTTTGATCGGCTGGCTTCCGCTCTCAAAAGCTAATTTGGTCTCTAATCTCAGTAATTGCACAGCTGTTTCTGAGCATCTCCTTCCAATTCAAAATGCCACTCACTATTGGGGTCTCGAAAGAAAAGGTGTCAGCACCGACGCAATCCACACAGTCAAGTAAACCAATTTTTAACCGAACGTTTTCGTTCCCTTCTCATAATGGATAAGTACAGGGAATAATGGAAAAATGTCAAAATACAGCTATTGGGGTCAGTCAACATATCTTAGTTACTAGGATACGAAATGCTACTTGCTAGGGATTGTCCCCTACTTAGGAGGGTCTTTCACTGCTTGGTAGGGTCTTTCCCTCTGAGTTAACTATGGGCTATCTTTACCTTCAATTTTATATCATCATTAAACGAAAACTTTGCAACAAATTCTTGAATGTACGTACCATCACTTCTTGAGGTGGCTTTCCTTACACATTCCTCAAAGTATTCTAGAGACCGCGATACAGTGCCCAGCTTTTCACCAAACTTGGACTCAATAAGCTTGTTGAATAGTGCCGTTTCCAGGAATATTTCAAAGAAGCCAAGCAAACTGGCAGGCTGATCCGATAAGAATGACTCCTGTGCAAAGAAAACCACCGCACGTACAATACAATAGAATTACGCAGCTGTGTAACAAGAGAGAACATCCACAAGGTCCAAAGGTGGACACATTCAAAGGCCACATCATGTGCAAACGTGATTCTGTGTTGGCCATAGTGGCTCCTACGCGGTGGTGGAGAAAGGGGAATGGATCGGTTTCCTCCTCTGCACATCCATACATGTAGAAGAGTAGCAACACCAGTAACCACAATACGTCAGCAGTGGTTGGCCACAGCGAGAGGAGACACAACCGCCCATCTATATGTCAAATTCTATTAGTCACCAGTCAACATGAGCATCGCCATACTTATATTTCATCACAACACTACATACACTTACACTTGACCCCAGTGCTGCACAAAGAAAACGTGCACGGATCACCTACGGTAGGCATTCCGAAAGCACACGGTTGCTAAAGGTACATTTCCTGCCGTAATTTCTTGCCCATACATGCGTGAATCAGAGCCAAATACAACATCTTGAAGAAGATACAAGGGGGAGAAACGGAGAAGCTTCAAGCGGAAGCAGCTCCAAACGCAGTGTGTGGCTCTACTTACCTTGTCAAAAATGACAAAGTCACTCTGCGATTCACAAATGTAGAGAGAGTAATCATGCAGTAGAGATATGTAGTAGTCCAGGAACACCTGCTGAATTTCACTGTTGAATTTCTGCATCTCGCCAAAGCCGTCTTCTTCGATTGCCCTGAGAGCGACAAATGAGATTGCATAAGGTGGTTTAAAAGGCACTGTTTCCCATAGCAAGCACAACTACCAGATTGTTTCCTGCCACTGTTCACCACACACACACACGACAGACTAATCACTGTCTATCACACACACACAATGGTAAGATTCACCTCACCAGCATAAGCTAGCGTGTGAGAGATGACACACACACACACACACACAGAGTAGCAAACTAGCAATCAGGACTACTCTATACCAGTACTATTCGCCTGGTTTTCACAACCACCTTCCAGTCCACATGCACAATCTACCTACCATTTCCGCTGCAGTTCCTTCACATAGGGATCGTTAGAAGACTGCGACCTCTCAGCATCTTCGGGCTCCGCTTGCACACCACCAGTGTTCTGCGGCTCGTCCACACGTGCTGAGTCCGAGAACGATGTGGGAATTCCAGCCTCCAGTGCGATGCGCGCCAAACGAGCTTTCGCCTTCGACTGCGGAGCGCCGCCTGGCGAGGATGACTTTGTGGGTGTTGATCTCAACTGCGCTGTCGGTGAGCTAGTGGGAGAGATTTGTCTGGTGCAAGATTACCGGAGAAGAGCAGTGCACAATCCTTGTGGAAAGTGTGTAAGGCTTTAGCAGATCCTACCAGTTGCCCATGTGGAACTGAGGTCACAACCATGCACGTCCTCGATACATCGTCATGCCATTTTTGCTGAATGCACCCTTAACCCATATAGCGTGTACAGAAGTCCTAGTCAAGACGCGTGCCAGTTGCTTTTGACTGCGATGGCAACCACTCTGCAGCAATATTCCATCGTGCACACACTACAGCTTAGATTGTTGCCCATTAAACACAGGGCTAAGAAGTACCAGAAACATACAGGAGCTTATGCATACCTTCTGAGTACATGCCGATGGTGAACTTTAACTTTGGGCGAAGGCTTGTCCAGATTGCAGCAAACGGCCATGTCACGCTGAAACAGGTCAGCGCTCTCGCACACCGATGACAAGCCGCTGGTCGTACTCGGCCGAGAGTCTGGAGTGCGCGGGCCAAGAAGCGGTGACTGGATGTCGTGCGTCTCGAGCTTTTCCTTCAGGTTGGCCATCAGAAGAGCGGCCTTGGGTAGAGGCACGTTCTTGTGCACCTCGATGTCCACATGTCCAAAGTCAATGTTGATGAGACAGACCTTTCATGCACAGAAAGAAAACCACGTGCACACAGGATTAATTGAGCAAGCGTGGATGCATAAACAAACTCATGCATGCACGCACACACACACACACACACACACACGCACATAAACACGAACATATA